TTTGAAAGACTGGTTCCCTGCACCATTCTTGTACAAATAATGAGGGGAACATTTAGGTAGAGCAGACAACCATCTCTAGCTGGACAGTTTCCTCATATAAAGTATGTTTTTAGCTGGTTCCCTAATTTATATACAAATCACACTACTAGTTTGAAAGACTGGTTCCCTGCACCATTCTTGTACAAATAATGAGGGGGAGCATTTAGGTAGAGCAGACAACCATCTCTAGCTGGACAGTTTCTTCATATAAAGTATGTTTTTAGCTGGTTCCTAAATTTACATACAATTCACACTATTATTATGAAAGACTGTTTCCCTGCACCATTTGAAACCATTCTGATGTGAATAAAATTTACACAAAATGTTTATATATGTATGCTAAGATAAATTTGCTGCCTGCATCTGGTCCAGTATTGTATCAATATTCAGATTCATTAACTTTATAACTTCCTGAAAAAAATATAACAATAAAACTAAGAATATTGACACATCATTTAAAATGTAAGTATTTCTGGAAAATCTATTTACTAATACAATATAGTGGGAATGACCATAATACAAGGTTAAAGAAATTTAACACCAGTAAAGACCCAGGCTAGCCTGTAGATCCATGTAGTCTGACCAGGGCTCTATACTGTTGGCTGACTTAACTTCAAATGTTCACCTTGATATCCCGGATATTGCTAATGGAATGTTCCAAACAAGTCCAAGTTCATTTCACACATTCAGGTGGTTATTTGATAAATATACATTCAATGAAAATGTTCCCATTTTTATCATGTTTATTCTTACTCTTATTGACTGACATTTTTCTAATTACATAAATAGTTTACATTATTGAACAGAAATTTCTATAGTAACGTATATAATGACAAAGTACCTGACTTAAAATATATTCCTCCAGATGTAGATTTTCTATCACATTAAAATGGTCTGTATCAGGTATGATCATCAAAGTAGACTGAATACCTTTAGATAAAAGAGCCTGAAATAATTACAACTTACATTACAATCTTATAAAACTAAACAAACAAAGGGCAAATAGCATTCATATATGAATCTTGATTAATATTTATGAAATAAGTAAGTTTATGTGTCACAGGTTGAGACAAATGTGCAGTCAGACCGAGACACTAACCCAGGATTCTCAAAATACCATACCACAGCTCTACTGACTGAGTTATTGAGCCGCTTATAATTATTCTCCCCTAAATAGTGAACAGTTATAAACCGTGACATATGTAATTAAAGAAAACAGCAACTATTGTAGAGACTCTAACCCTATCAATGACCAGAGATATATTTTATTTTCTGTGTACTAAGTCAAGCCAGAAACCAGAAAAAAACATCTCCCTGAGTTATTATTATGCATATTACATGTACCTATCTTTGTCATTTAATTAGGTGAAATTCATTGAAACATTTTGAAACAATCAATTATCATAGTATTGCAAGCAATCCATAAGTCCCCTACCTGTTAGAACCCCAGCAACATTCTGATGGGCCATTGGCCATTCAATTTTACCAGTGAATGAATGACATCAATGAACTTAAATCTTCTGAGTTCTAAGTTTGTCTATATCACAGTAATGTGTTAAGTTTCCCTGCCAAGTAAAGAAATTATGTTTACACAACAGATAATCAAAAGGTCCAATTTTCTCAGGATGAATAAGAATAACTAATGTTTCAATTGTTCTCTATTTTAAGTAAATTTGTTGGAAAAAATCTTTAAAAGTGATCTCAGGCAACAGTTTTTTATGAACAGACAGACAGACTGAAGGAGACTCTAAAGTTATTTTCTCAAACATCCCTGTTACCAAAATAAAACTTTTTTTAATGCAAAATTCTTAAAGAGAAGATAACTCTTGAAAATAAAGATGCTAGATTTATGAACATTGTCATATATGATGTGAGTTTTACTTTAAGTTTAAAGATACCATTTATAGTCACAAAGAAGATAAGTAAAAAAATAACAATTTTCAAATATAGCATTAACTATAATGTATAGTAAGTAACAAAGATGAAAATTAAAAAAGAAATATAATGTAGGTTTAAATAATGAATGTTTATTTTGAATTTGAAGAAATCCATAAAAAAAATTTAGAAAGTTAAAGAATGAATAAGAACTAGAAATGTGTCCATAGGACACGGGTGCCCCCACCGCGCCACTGTTCTGTCAATCTTTTTACTAAGTCAAGGGAAATAACTCTACAAATACTTGATAAATCCACAAGCGAAACCACAGGTGCAAATCTAAATATGCTGAGCAACCTGCCCATAAGGTTTAATGACTATGTCAAATCCTTTTTGAGTAACTTGCGACACAAATTGAAAATTGCAAAATTTTACTAAGTCAAGGGCAATAACTCTGAAAATACTAAAGATATCCAGACGAAAATACCCTGGTGCACAACTGCACATGCTGAACAACATTCCTGTAAAGTTACATGACTCTAGGTCAAATACTTTTTGAGTTACGTGCGACACATGTTGAAAATTGCAAAATTTTACTAAGTCAAGGGCAATAACTCTGAAAATACTAAAAATATCCAGACGAAAATACCCAGATGCACAACTACACATGCTGATCAACATTCCTGTAAAGTTTCATGACTCTAGGTCAAATACTTTTTGAGTTACGTGCGACACAAGTTGAAAATTGCAAAATTTTACTAAGTCAAGGGCAATAACTCTGAAAATACTAAAAATGTCCACACGAAAATACCCAGGTGCACAACTACACATGCTGATCAACATTCCTGTAAAGTTTCATGACTCTAGGTCAAATACTTTTTGAGTTACGTGCGACACAAGTTGAAAATTGCAAAATTTTACTAAGTCAAGGGCAATAACTCTGAAAATACTAAAAATATCCAGACGAAAATACCCAGGTGCACAACAACACATGCTGAACAACATTCCTGTAAAGTTTCATGACTCTAGGTCAAATACTTTTTGAGTTACGTGCGACACAAAAGTGAACGGACGGAAGGACGGACGGAAGGACGGACGGACAGACGGACGGACGGACGGACAAGGGTAAATCTAAATGCCCGCCACTAACGTGGGGGCACAAAAATTCAAAGTTTAAGGAGGAGATAATTCTGGAAATATGGATTCTAGATTTATAAACCTTGTCATATTATTACAATGTGGGATTTTAAAGTAAATCCTATAAGGAATGAAGAAGATGGAGTAAAAAATACCAATTTCTCGAAAAAAATCTATGTTCAAGGGGGACATAATTCTGGAAATAGTCTTGCTAGAGTATTAAACCTTCTCAAAAATGTTGAGTGATAATAAGAAACATATATATGAAGTTTGAAGTAGATACATTAAGAAATAAAGAAGTGATTTAAAAACGACATTTTTTCAAGTTCAAGGGAGGTAATTCTGATATCTACTACACAAACTTTTCTATCTCCTAGGAAGAAAGTTTGTGTAGTAGATAATTATTAATTTACTGTTTCCAGATTGAATTTAAAAGGTAATTCTGATATTTTTTTGTGCTAGAGTTGTAAACCTTGTCACATATGATGTGGTTGATGACCAGAAACTTATATTTAAAGTTTGAAGTAAACACCTTAAGAAATGAAGAACTTATAGTGAAAAAGCTTAAAAATTTAAATCAGAAATCTTGAAATTCAGTCTATTTGTTGTCATAGCAACCACAATTTTCAACATAGAAAGAAAAGAAAAAGATGTGCATAATCTCCAGACTGCCTTCTACCAATATTTCAAGTTTCATAAAAATATTTTCAGTACTTTTTGAGTTATCACTGGATCCAGTTTATGTGTTAAATTTGCCATATTTTCAGACTATTTGTTGCCATAGCAACCAGAATTTTCAACATAGAAAGAAAAGAAAAACACGTGCATAATCTCCATACTGCCATCTATCCATATATCACGTTTCATAAAAATATTTTCAGTACTTTTTGCGTTATCGCGGGATCCAGTTTTGTGGACGGACGGACTGACAGACAGACGGACGGAGGGTAAACCTAAAGTCCCCTCCGGTTAAACCGGTAGGGGACTAAAACAGAATACTGCAAGTAGAAAAGTACTTACACTGTTGAACTCTGTACTCTGACGCTTGAATTCAGGCGGGTCATGATCGCCATAGGCAACAATAAATCTACGCTTCTCACTAAATTCTACAATCTTGTCAAGATGTGTCACTGGGCTGTTTCTAACTGCATCTTCTCTGAAATATCAATCAGCTAAAATATCTCTCTGATTTTATACTTAATTGATAAAGTTTTAAAACTAAAATCAATCTCTGATGAGCTATATAACTTTAAAACTAAAAACACTCTAATAAATAACTATGAACTGATATAGCTTCAAAGTAATAAACAAGGGGAGCGGTGGCCTAGTGGTTAAGGTGTCTGCCTCTCAACCCAGAGATCATGGGTTCGAGCCCTACTCGGGTCACGACCATGTTTCTCCATATGACACCAGTACTGGTTGGTTCCAGGAAGCGGACTCGAAAGTGATTAATATAAGTTGCAAGAACTTGTTTCGCAATCGAGCTTAAATAAATATGTTTAAACCAAAGTAATAAACAATATGATATCTATTTTTGTTTTGCAGGCTAACACTGACAGTAGGGTTAGGGTTCTAAACATTATTTCATAAATTTCCATTTCACTGTGAACACTGAATCTAGACATAATCTAGCAATTTTGTTATTTCTTGTGAAATTTGAATTTATACCATACAACTAAAACCAATTAAAATGTTGCAATCATTTGTTGTTTAAAATTTTGTGACAGGTGAGCTAAAAATAAACTTGACTTTTCACACCAAAAGGACCAAAGTCATTTTATATGACTCATAAAAGTCTTATCATTTCAAAAAGCAAAGATTTTCATAAAAATGTTTTGTATTTTGTTTATTTAAACTTAAAATGAACATAATGCCAACACAGTTAAATAAAACATATATTTCCTAAGAAACAAAATCAAAATTGAGAGAGACAATTGTTAAGCACTCACTGTGTCATTTTGAGAGGATCATTTATATATGTATTAACTAACGGTGTCAGATCATACACACCACTCACTAACAAACCTCCTGAAAAATAACAAAAATTAACAAGAACTGTCGGAAGACTGTAACGCTCGACTATTCGAAAAGTTATCACAAGGGTGTTTCATTGAATATAATAATGCTTACCTATATGAATACATAAAATTGTCGGAAAAGGTACAGGCTTGTTATTAAGATGTTTTACCGAGTAAATCACTGCTTTATTATTATGAATGCATAAAATTGTCCCAAAAAAGGCACAAACCCTTCAGTAGTTATGGAGATACCAGCTTACAAGCAAAACCTTTACCAAGAATTTCTAAGCCGAAAAAAGGGGCATAATTATGCAAAAAAACAAGAGTTATTGGACTTGTGCCAATCATGTAAGATAATCACAGAGAACAAGTATGTGAAGTTTCAATCCATTCCCTTCGCAAAACCTTTACCAAGAATTTCTAAGTCGAAAAAGGGGCATAATTATGCAAAAAAGCAAATCAGACTTATGGGACTTGTGCCAATAGTGTAACATAATAACAGAGAACAAGTGTGTGAAGTTTCAATCCATTCCCTTTAGTAGTTATTGAGATACCAGCTTACACACAAAAACTTAACCAAGAATTTCTAAGTTGAAAAAGGGACATCATTAAGCAAAAAAGCAAATCAGAGTTATGGGACTTGTGCCAATCATATAAGATAATCACAGAGAACAAGTGTGTTGAATTTCAATCCATTCCCTTCAGTAGTTATAGAGATACCAGCTTACACGCAAAAACTTAACCACGCCGACAAATGGGTGACTGCATTAGCTCGATTGCTCTGCGAATAGTCGAGCTAAACACAATAACATGTATACCTTGTTTCATAAATGTGTCAAATAATGCATGTTAAACCTATCTTTCACATTGTTCAAATTTATATTTCAAAGTTCCGCAAGTTGAAGCTTTTTATGCCCCAAGTATGTGCTATTGTTTGATTGGGTTTTACATTGCACTGTCATAGTATAGTTCATATGGTGAGGTTCCAGCTTTACTGGTGGAGAAAGTCCTCAGATGCCATTTCATGCATAATTTAAGGCATGTACAAGCACCCGAGTAGAACCACTGACATTCCACAAGCTAGCTGGATAGCTTCCTCACATGAAAGAATCCAAAGTCCCTCTCGGGATTTGAACCCCTACAGTATTGAGGGGCAAGTGGTCTGTGATCAATGACCTTAGCCATTGGACAAGGATGCCCCCATGTGCTTTTGTAAGATGTGTTAGGACTCGATGAAAAAACTAGAACTATCACTAAATGTGATTAATACCCCCACAAGACTGCTTCGGAAATGAGGATGTTACCAGTAACAGAATACCTTGTAAAAGAATTGAAATATAGAGTTATGGTTGTTGGCAATTAAAGATAGTTGTGGTTCTTGTATGTTGCATTTCCTTTCAATGTGGTTGGCCATTGATGAAGTTTAATTGAATTACTCTGTAATAAGTCCAGAAAGACAAAAAAAAGGAACAAAGGGCAAAAACTCTATAAAAACTGAAAATAGAGTTATAGTTCTTGTGCACTGCACTTCCTCTTATTGTGCTTGAACATTGTATGAAGTCGTTTTAAATTCCAACCAGTACGTTTTAAGTTATGCTCAGGACAAGGAAAAGTATCGAAGGGCAGTAACTCTGTATTTTGTCAAAATGGAGTTATGGCTCTTGTGCACTGTACTTCCTTTTAATGTCCTTGACAACTGTATGAAGTTGTACTGAATTCTAAACAGTAGTTTTCAAGTTATGCTCTGGACAAGGAAAAGTAACAAAGGGCAATAACTCTGTAATTAGTCAAGATGGAGTTATGTTTCTTGTGCACTGCACTTCCCCTTATTGTGCTTGACCATTGTATGAAGTTGTTTTGAATTCCAACCAGTAGTTTTCAAGTCATGCTCTGGACAAGGAAAATTAACAAAGGGCAGTAACTCTGTAATTAGTCAAGATGGAGTTATGGTTCTTGTGCACTGCACTTCCTCTCAATGTGCTTGACCATTGTATGAAGTTATATTGAATTCCAACCATTAGTCTTCAAGTTATGCTCCGGACAAAAAAGCAATGGAAAAGTAACAAAGGGCAATAACTCTGTAATTAGTCAAGATGGAGTTATGGTTCTTGTGCACTGCACTTCCCCTTATTGTGTTTGACAATTGTATGAAGTTGTTTTGAATTCCAACCAGTAGTTTTCAAGTTATGCCCCGGACAAGGAAAAGTAACAAAGGGCAATAACTCTGTAATTAATCAAGATGGAGTTATGGTTCTTGTGCACTGCACTTCCTCTCAATGTGCTTGACCATTGTATGTAGTTATATTGAATTCCAACTATTAGTCTTCAAGTTATGGTCCGGACAAAAGAAAGCAATGGAAAAGTAACAAAGGGCAATCACTTTGTAATTACTTTAGATAGAGTTATGGTTCTTCTGCACTGCACTTCCTTTTATTGTGCTTGACAATTGTATGAAATTGTTTTGAATTCCAACCAGTAGTTTTCAAGTTATGCTCCGGATAAGGAAAGGTAACAAAGGGCAATAACTCTGTAATTTGTCAAAACAGAGTTATGGTTCTTGTGCACTGCACTTCCTCTCAATGTGCTTGACCATTGTATGTAGTTATATTGAATTCCAACCATTAGTCTTCAAGTTATGCTCCGGACAAGGTAAATGCAACGGACCAAAAAAAAAGCAATGGAAAAGCAACAAAGGGCAATAACTCTGTAATTACTTTAGATAGAGTTATGGTTCTTGTGCACTGCACTTCCCCTTATTGTGTTTGACAATTGTGTGAAGTTGTTTTGAATTCCAACCAGTAGTTTTCAAGTTATGCCCCGGACAAGGAAAAGTAACAAAGGGCAATAACTCTGTAATTAATCAAGATAGAGTTATGGTTCTTGTGCACTGCACTTCCTCTCAATGTGCTTGACCATTGTGTGTAGTTATATTGAATTCCAAGCATTAGTCTTAAAGTTATGCTCCGGACAAGGAAAATGCAACGGACGTCTGGACCGACCGACCGACCGCCCGACCGACCAACCGACCGACCGACCGACCGACCGACCACTGGGTGACTCCTATATACCCCCCCAAACTTCGTTTTTGGGGGTATAAATATGAGAGAAGAAACCAATTAGTAAAAGTTGTTAAAAGGACAAAGATTTTAAAAGAGTGACTCTTATTGTAACACATATTACCTAAAATTACAGGGATCATCAACAGGCTATGGGTCATGTCCCTACCAAGTAACAAAAGTCTAGACCTTTGCCTTCTCAAGTTATTACTTGAACAAGGATTTTTTCAGTAAGTGTCACTATGACCTTGAACTTTGACTTAATGAGCTCAAAATCTTTGACAAGGGTGGGCAATGTTCTTACTAAGTTTAATAAAATTAGACTAGTTCCTCCTCAAGTTAATGATCAGGCAAGGATAACACAGTCACTGTGAGTTTTACCTTATGACATCAAGAACTGAGAGGGGTTATCTACTGACCATGACCAACTTTCTTACTAAGAAAGAAGACAGCATAGCCTATAGTTATCAAGTTATTGAGCAGACAATAATGTGGCTAAAAGACAAAAATGGATGGACAGTCACCATACTACTATTTTACACTTGAAGGTTACTTGGGAAAATCAAAATCCTTCTTGCCATATTGAAGTACATAACATTAGTTTTAATGAAGAGATTTACGATTAACATTTTCCCAATATTACATTCTTTGACACACAAGGTTAAATTGACGGAGAATCATAAATTGAATTTCATATAGTTTCAAATCATTGACTAGTAAACTTAAAATAATGATAAAATCAAAATCCTATACTTTAAAAATTCACCACGTTTTTATGCTGTTTTTTTTTTTTTTTGGTTGGGTTTAATGTCACAATAACACAGTATATGTCATATGGCGACTTTCTAGCTTTACTGGCAGAGGAAGATCTCAGGTGCCCTTACGTGCATATATCAGGCACAAACAGGCACCTGAGTAGAACCACAAATGTTCCATAAGCTAGCTAGATAGCTTCAATATATGAAAGAATTCCAAGTCTGTGGCCAGATGTGAGCCCACAGTGATGAGGGGCAAATGGTATTAAGTCAACAACATTAACCACTTGGCCATGGCTGCCCCTTTCACCCTGTTCTGAAAAAGTCTGAAATTAGCACTGAACACACCTTTTATGAGACTGTGACTGACCATGGTTTCCTGTAACCAGTTCTGTGACAACATTAAAGCTGCCAGATGGGCACCAGCTGAATGTCCACATAAATAAACACCACTGTAACAATACATGATTACATTATACAAAAACATTACACAAAAATATTCAACAATGATGTTACACAAAACAGCACCTTATTAAACATCAAGTTGATAAATATAAAACTTACTTTAACATCACAATATTAAATACTTAATTAACCCAAACAGAACACGAAAATATTTCAAACACTTTTAGGCTTCAATCAAATCTAAAAAAGCACTGACAGTAAGTAGAGATTATCCGACTTCTTGGGGAAACAGCTGTTTAAGTTTTCCCAATATCAATTTGTCAACAGAAAAACGTTTTAAAGCTGCATGCCTCTAAATTCAAGAAAATCAACTTTGAGAAAAATGAAATAATCTTTTAAGAAAAATAAAAATATTTAAAAAAAAACAAGTGATGATTTACATGTTATATGCAATGAATGACTGATTTTGCAGTATAAATCACCATATTTCTACAGCGAGATTAATGCAATAATAAGGGCTATTTTTGCATAGTTTGACCTTTACTTGGTAATTTACCTAGATTGAACCTGCTGTTGAAACATGTTAATTACTATCTTTGTTCACTTGACAATATGACTGAAATACTGTTGAGAAAAGGCGTAAAATCAAACAAACAAACAAACAAACAAACTTGACAATATTTTATCTTTAAACACATTTTCAAAATTTTCATAAAAATTAGAATGAATCTGAAGGCATGCTGCTTTAAAATATACAGCACATGTGATTATACACATCAAAACTACTGTTTAGCTATGTGTTGAAAATATTTATGTATTATGTTGTCTAAGAATTTGATGTTAATTAATATATTACAAAATTGAGTGCTAAAATCAGGTTATATATGTGTCACAGTGTATTTGTAACACAAGATTTGTGTAGTAGAAACGCCATACCTATGCATATTGGTCCTTTTAACTGACCAGGTTACTCATTTCAGCCACATATGATTTTATATTAAATAAATTTGTAGTTACTATTGCACAATACCTACATTATTTTCATATTCCTGTATTATAGGGATATACACGATGTACATACATGGTTATGTCAAATGAAAAAGCAACATATTTATAACTCTATACAAGAATGGTAATATATTAAATTAAGATTTCACCAACCTTGACCCTCGTCTGGTTGCCAAGGTGAGAACAAAACTAACAGCTTTCTTCACCTGCGATACTATTACATCCATGTTTGCTGGAAGACATCAAACAAAAATTATTTAACTTTATAATGGTCCGTGGTTATAGTTATAGACATATGACACCTGTATCAGGTCTGTCTGTAACCCTGGAAATTCTTGCAGTCTGGCCAGAAATCTTCCAATCAAAATACTCAATCACAATAAAATACTAATGGCCAAAAAGCTAAGTTAGTTTAGATACATTTAATATGTATTTATCAAATGAGAACCGTTTCCAAAACTGTCACAAAACACTAAACGTAAAAAGCTTCTGAGAAAAAAGAAATAATGGCATTTTTAGTGCTTCACAAGCTTTTGACAAATACCTCAGTGAATAATAATAGGATAAGATTTCACAAAAAACATTGGTGCCAAGTGGGATTCGCGCTAGTTAAATCCATCAGAACAAAATACAAGTAACAGATATTCCAATGATAACTCTTTTAATATAAACCTTATCATATTTAAGTTATACTTTATTAATGGCTTGTGGAGCGAGATCATATAATAGAATTAATTATTGCCGTACCTTGTGGAGCGAGATCATATAATAAAATAAATTATTGACGTACCTTGTGGAGCGAGATCATCTGATAGAATAAATTATTGACGTACCTTGTGGAGCGAGATCATCTGATAGAATAAATTATTGACGTACCTTGTGGAGCGAGATCATCTGATAGAATAAATTATTGACGTACCTTGTGGAGCGAGATCATCTGATAGAATAAATTATTGACGTACCTTGTGGAGCGAGATCATCTGATAGAATAAATTATTGACGTACCTTGTGGAGCGAGATCATATAATAGAATAAATTATTGACGTACCTTGTGGAGCGAGATCATCTGATAGAATAAATTATTGACGTACCTTGTGGAGCAAGATCATATAATAGAATAAATTATTATTGACGTACCTTGTGGAGCGAGATCATCTGATAGAATAAATTATTATTGACGTACCTTGTGGAGCGAGATCATATAATAGAATAAATTATTGAAGTACCTTGTGGAGCGAGATCATCTGATAGAATAAATTATTGACGTACCTTGTGGAGCAAGATCATATAATAGAATAAATTATTATTGACGTACCTTGTGGAGCGAGATCATCTGATAGAATAAATTATTATTGACGTACCTTGTGGAGCGAGATCATCTGATAGAATAAATTATTGACGTACCTTGTGGAGCGAGATCATCTGATAGAATAAATTATTGACGTACCTTGTGGAGCGAGATCATCTGATAGAATAAATTATTGAAGTACCTTGTGGAGCGAGATCATATAATAGAATAAATTATTGACGTACCTTGTGGAGGGAGATCATATAATAGAATAAATTATTGACGTACCTTGTGGAGCGAGATCATCTGATAGAATAAATTATTGACGTACCTTGTGGAGCGAGATCATCTGATAGAATAAATTATTGACATACCTTGTGGAGCGAGATCATCTGATAGAATAAATTATTGACATACCTTGTGGAGCGAGATCATCTGATAGAATAAATTATTGAAGTACCTTGTGGAGCGAGATCATCTGATAGAATAAATTATTGACGTACCTTGTGGAGCGAGATCATCTGATAGAATAAATTATTGACGTACCTTGTGGAGCGAGATCATCTGATAGAATAAATTATTGACATACCTTGTGGAGCGAGATCATCTGATAGAATAAATTATTGACATACCTTGTGGAGCGAGATCATCTGATAGAATAAATTATTGACGTACCTTGTGGAGCGAGATCATCTGATAGAATAAATTATTGACGTACCTTGTGGAGCGAGATCATATAATAGAATAAATTATTATTGACGTACCTTGTGGAGCGAGATCATCTGATAGAATAAATTATTGACGTACCTTGTGGAGCGAGATCATCTGATAGAATAAATTATTGACGTACCTTGTGGAGCGAGATCATCTGATAGAATAAATTATTGAAGTACCTTGTGGAGCGAGATCATATAATAGAATAAATTATTGACGTACCTTGTGGAGCGAGATCATATAATAGAATAAATTATTGACGTACCTTGTGGAGCGAGATCATCTGATAGAATAAATTATTGACGTACCTTGTGGAGCGAGATCATCTGATAGAATAAATTATTGAAGTACCTTGTGGAGCGAGATCATCTGATAGAATAAATTATTGACATACCTTGTGGAGCGAGATCATCTGATAGAATAAATTATTGAAGTACCTTGTGGAGCGAGATCATCTGATAGAATAAATTATTGACGTACCTTGTGGAGCAAGATCATATAATGAAATAAATTATTGACGTACCTTGTGGAGCGAGATCATCTGATAGAATAAATTATTGACGTACCTTGTGGAGCGAGATCATCTGATAGAATAAATTATTGACGTACCTTGTGGAGCGAGATCATCTGATAGAATAAATTATTGACATACCTTGTGGAGCGAGATCATCTGAATAGAATAAATTATTGAAGTACCTTGTGGAGCGAGATCATCTGATAGAATAAATTATTGACGTACCTTGTGGAGCGAGATCATCTGATAGAATAAATTATTGACGTACCTTGTGGAGCAAGATCATATAATAGAATAAATTATTGACGTACCTTGTGGAGCGAGATCATATAATAGAATAAATTATTGACATACCTTGTGGAGCAAGATCATATAATGAAATAAATTATTGACGTACCTTGTGGAGCGAGATCATCTGATAGAATAAATTATTGAAGTACCTTGTGGAGCGAGATCATATAATAGAATAAATTATTGACGTACCTTGTGGAGCGAGATCATATAATAGAATAAATTATTGACGTACCTTGTGGAGCGAGATCATATAATAAAATAAATTATTGACGTACCTTGTGGAGCGAGATCATATAATAGAATAAATTATTGACGTACCTTGTGGAGCGAGATCATATAATAGAATAAATTATTGCCGTACCTTGTGGAGTGAGATCATATAATAAAATAAATTATTGACGTACCTTGTGGAGCGAGATCATATAATAGAATAAATTATTGACGTACCTTGTGGAGCGAGATCATATAATAGAATAAATTATTGCTGTACCTTTAGGAGCGAAATCATATAATAGAATAAATTATTGCCGTATCTTGTGGAGCGAGATCATATAACAGAATAAATTATTGCCGTACCTTGTGGAGCGAGATCATATAATAGAATAAATTATTGACATACATTATGGAGCAAGATCATATAATAGAATAAATTATTGACGTACCTTGTGGAGCAAGATCATATAATAAAATAAATTATTGACGTACCTTGTGGAGCAAGATCATATAATAAAATAAATTATTGACGTACCTTGTGGAGCGAGATCATCTGATAGAATAAATTATTGAAGTACCTTGTGGAGCGAGATCATATAATAGAATAAATTATTGCTGTACCTTTAGGAGCGAAATCATATAATAGAATAAATTATTGCCGTATCTTGTGGAGCGAGATCATATAACAGAATAAATTATTGCCGTACCTTGTGGAGCGAGATCATATAATAGAATAAATTATTGACATACATTATGGAGCAAGATCATATAATAAAATAAATTATTATTGACGTACCTTGTGGAGCAAGATCATATCCCACTGCAACAACTACAGCACCAGCCTTACATAACACGGGTACCATAAAACTTGACATCTCACGACTGTTAATTAATGTGATATACATTATATCATTTGCAACAAAGCTTCTTATTTCATGTGTTATCTTATGAGGAAAAATAATTAAATAAAAGAATGGGGGCAAAATCATTTTAAGACCAAATAAAATTACAAGCATCAATCATTATCATTAAAATTTAGACTCCTGTCAGAATGGAATACATAAATGTATTAAAGAAGCTTGGTGAAAATGCACTTAACGACTATGTAGAAATAGACTGGAAGACCTGTAAATTAGCATGGTTAATATTGGCAACAGATAATCACTTGCAAATTGGTAAGGCTATTCAGTCTGTTTGTCATTCCGTTGCTTCTCTACTTCATATCTGCCCCGAACCCCTATTTGCCCCTGAAATCCACTTGATTCAATCAAAATTGGCCGCAATATTTCAATTTTAGACATGCGCAATAGACGCTTACCGATAAAGTGCATTTTACCCAAGTAGCTTGCTTTAACTCTTAATCTCTTACTATACTACATGGATATAATATCTTAAACAGACTAGACCATCTTTTAATTTGGACAAAATCATTTATCTTTAAGGAAAATTTCAAATTAGTTATAATGACTATTATCAAATGTGCCAGCTGATCTTGATCTGTATTGCTGGGTATGGTCAGTTCCCAACAGCAAGGTAAGGTTTAAATATTATATAGTCTAAGGCATTTTTGTCTTCTTAAGGACGTTTTCTCCCGAAAAAGTCTATAAATCATTTCAAAGTATTCCTTATACACAGAAATGATGATAGAAAAGAATGATTCAACCTACTGATAACTTTAACAAGGTGTTTGACTAATTGCTAGTTTAATTATGTATAAACCTACCCTAAAGCTGACCAGTATCCACCATGTATATATACAAATATAGGAGCATCTGAAATAAACATAAATCTGTAAAGTATAAATAAATATTTCTAATTCCTATCATTGAAATAAATAGTATTGTATAATGATGTTATTGTTAAACATATAACAAAGTAAAAACTTCCTACATTAGACATTATATGTCACTCATTTGTAACCCTTGCACCCCCTCTCTACCAATTGCAGGGCAGTGTGTGGCAGGGCAGGACAAATAAGCCGGGGTCAATGTGGTAATTTAATCATTTAATTTCAGTGCCAGAATAGATGGACATTATGTATAACTAACAATGGGAAGGTATTAAGAGTGAATTTTAGATCCTAACTGTTCCAGCATGGGGTTGAGAGAGGACTGGTTTACAATTAACTGGTACATTACTTATTCAACTTTTAAAGACTACCATTCAACAAATTTGATCTCTTAAAATTAAAATCACAACTGTTAACTTTTACAAACTATCATTTTAAAAATTGAGATCTTAAAATTAAAATAATACAGATGAATACTTCTTATAGATAAGAGTAACATCTACTAGATCAATTGGTGAAATAAACATTTATTAAACTGTGTGAATTGTTGTCAATCTGAATACTGTAACTGTAAAGTCCCAGTTATAACAGTAATCAAAAATATTGTACAATTTACCTGTATTTTTGTTTAATATTTTTAATCTCCTATTATATTATTTATATTTAAAAAAAAATTTGATCATAATTCGGAAGACCCAGGTTACAACTAAAACTCACCACCAGGTAAAGTTTGAGCTCCAAACACGTCATATTTCTCTTTCTCTGACAAACCATAACTGAAACCTATCTCACAATCTGTACATTCTTTTGCTTTATTACTTCCTGTAAAACCAAACAAATATAAACATTGCTGGATAACATCATGAAGAGTGTACTTTACCCAAAACTTCGCCCATATAATAAGTGCAGCATAATGTTACCATCTGTAAGACTACATATATAATGTTACCATCTGTAAGACTACATATATAATGTTACCAACTGTAAGACTACATATATAATGTTACCATCTGTAAGACTACATATATAATGTTACCAACTGTAAGACTTCATATATAATGTTACCATCTGTAAGACTACATATATAATGTTACCAACTGTAAGACTACATATATAATGTTACCATCTGTAAGACTACATATATAATGTTACCATCTGTAAGACTACATATATAATGTTGCCATCTGTAAGACTATATATATAATGTTACCATCTGTAAGACTATATATATAATGTTACCATCTGTAAGACTACATATATAATGTTGCCATCTGTAAGACTATATATATAATGTTACCATCTGTAAGACTTCATATATAATGTTGCCATCTGTAAGGCTACATATATAATGTTACCATCTGTAAGACTACAGATATAATGTTGCCATCTGTAAGACTTTATATATAATGTTACCATCTGTAAGACTACATATATAATGTTGCCATCTGTAAGACTACATATATAATGTTACCAACTGTAAGACTACATATATAATGTTACCATCTGTAAGACTACATATATAATGTTACCATCTGTAAGACTTCATATTTAATGTTACCAACTGTAAGACTACATATATAATGTTACCATCTGTAAGACTACATATATAATGTTACCATCTGTAAGACTACATATATAATGTTACCATCTGTAAGACTACATATATAATGTTACCAACTGTAAGACTACATATATAATGTTACCATCTGTAAGACTACATATATAATGTTACCAACTGTAAGACTACATATATAATGTTACCATCTGTAAGACTATATATATAATGTTACCATCTGTAAGACTTCATATATAATGTTACCATCTGTAAGACTACATATATAATGTTACCATCTGTGAGACTACATATATAATGTTACCATCTGTGAGACTACATATATAATGTTACCATCTGTGAGACTACATATATAATGTTACCATCTGTAAGACTACATATATAATGTTACCATCTGTAAGACTACATATATAATGTTACCATCTGTGAGACTACATATATAATGTTACCATCTGTAAGACTACATATATAATGTTACCATCTGTGAGACTACATATATAATGTTACCATCTGTAAGACTACATATATAATGTTACTATCAGTGAGACTACATATATAATATTACCATCTGTAAGACTACATATATAATGTTACCGTCTGTAAGACTACAGATATAATGTTACCATCTGTGAGAGCTTTGATATGAGCATTAATGACATCATCTGGACCCATTCTGTGAGACCATCTTGAAGGAGAGTATGCATGTTCTAATTCCTGCAATAATATAACATATTGCTGTACACTGTTTTATTAGAAAATATCAACATACATTTGTTAAATATTTTATCTCATAACAGCTACTTACAGCACATGGTGTTGGGGTGCAGCATCTGTCCCCAAAATCCTATGTGTATCCTAAGTTCTAGATAATAAGATCCAACTTTAGGACTAATTTAAGATTGTTTCAATACACATGTTTATCTTAAGTCAAGACTTTAGACTTCAATCTTGTTCATTCTCCTGAGAAAGGTTAAAAATTACAATGGCATGCTGTATAAATGTCCATCAGCATTGCTATCAACAAATCATAGGTGGTCATAAATTAAAATATTTTGTTCAAAATGCAAAATTGTCTCAATTTTGGCTTTAAGACTGATTTCAGTCTTAAGACAATTTCTATTAAATGCAACTCAGACTCCTTATCTAGAGAATGTTGGTTCCAATCCCACCAGCCTTGAGATTCTCTATCACCTTCCTCAATCCATACTGGTGCCATTACCCATTAAGGCACCTAAGGGAGCAGTCTTTTGGCATGGCTTTAAAGTCTATTTTGTCTTAATTCCAAGAATCTTGGGTTAGTCATGAATATAAATGCAAAAACAAATGAACCCAGAAACCTGCAAACCATTCACACCAGATTTTTTTATGTTTTATAAAGCATTAACATTGACTTACCTGTATACTATATTCCAATTATGTTGCATTACCATTATAAGTCATTGTAGTATGTTTTCATATGAAATAAACACATTTCAAGCTTTTTATCAAGTAAATTGTCATAATAAACTTTAAATCTTAATCTGTTTTTAAAAAAAATGAACTGTACAAACCTCTTTTGATGCCATGGCAATCAGTGTTCCTTCAACAACTCTACAACAATATAAGTTTAACTTTATGTTGTGTTAACATGTAGTATAACATCAGTATGAGAGTGACAAGTTAGTAAAAATGTTAAAACTTTAGCTAAAAATAGAACAAATGTATGAAATAACTCATCAGTCTGACAACAACTTAACATTATCATTAATGTCAGCACAGCTAAATTACTTACTGAGATTTATTAACACTCTTTTAAACGTGGAGCTGTTTATCAGTTTATATTATAATATTAAAAGTCTGTGTTATAAAACCATTATCATACTGAATTTGTTAAAACTGGACATGTCCTGTTTTGAGTTTGAAAATACTAATCTTTCAATATCAAAATCTTTCTCTGACTAGTATCCTTACATTTCCCCCTCTCACCCACATACAGTTCCCTCAACCCACATACAGTTACCCCACTCCCATACAGTCCACCCCCCGCACCCCTGGGACAGTTGCCCCTCCAGATTTTGGCCTGATTCTACACACAGTGATTTTTTAAATAATATAATGGTCATTGTATTTAATAATAACTTTATTCTTTTTTCAGTAGATTATCAAAGTATATGATTATTTAAAGTGTAATGTATATGTTATTTAATGATGTTTAATCATAAATCTGGAAATTTGTACCAGGACGCTGATGCTGCAATGAATTTGACAGGTCTCCATATTTATTATTACCCCTGGACATGCTGAATATTTTAAATGGACTTGTCCCACTTCCATTTTTGGGACTGTCCATTATCAATTTTAGGGATATCAATTTGAATATGTAAAGTTTGTCAGCCAACAGTATAGAGCCTGGTCAGACTGCACTGATGTGCAGGCTGGCCTGGATCTATGTTGGTGGCAAAGGCTTAAGGCTTTCTGTCCCAGCATTTTAAGGGTTACTACAGAAATAAAGTTGAGCTTAACAGGAGAAAGAGCATTTATTTGGTAACTGCCAAGTTTTACAAACTGAACTGTTTGTGAGAAACATTTATCTTTTTAAGTCTACAAATAAAATGTGTTCAATAATAATAAGATGTTAAAACCCCTTATGGCATTAATAAGCAAGGTGTTAACTCTATAGTCATACACTTCAATGTAGCATTTATTGTAAACTACATGGACATCAGATTAGCTGAAAATATTTTTAAACATTAGCAACAGGATTGCATAAAAGGGCACAATAAATAAATTCAGACCAATTTTTCAGGTATGGTTGAACTTCTGTCTAATTGTAATAGCATGCTCTCGTTTGTTTACATATAATTTGAACCAAGAAGTGTTTGTCTTCTGACTTCAAACTGGAAAGACTTATTAAGAATTTTAAGTCTTACCTGCTTCAAAGAAGGATTGCATTGACTTAAATTGGACCTACTCAATATATTTAACAAACAAGAAATATCTTCAAATATTGTGCTTTATCTGAAAATATTTCGTCAACATCATACTGCTTCAAAATTGTTTATAATTACACTAAGCAGATATACATTGAATTGAGAGACAGCTATGAGATACAAGGGAATCCAGGAACCAGCTCTTATTGAATACACCCTTTGGTTCTTTTACATGCCCAGTGTATAATTATATTATAACATTTAAGAGACAGGATCGACAGAATTGAACCTGGGACCTCAGGAGTGACAATCAGTGGTGTATTTTACATGATAGCAGGAATGCTGAAACCATGTCAAACTTACCACTTCTTAAAGACATTTCAAATGTTAACATGGATATATACAATTAAAGAATTTGCAGAAATGAGGTTTTCCGCCAGCAAACAAGAAAGGATGTATCATTGATTTGTAAAGTTCAAACAGGTGGAGTCAATCATAAACCATAAACTAGTTTAATCATAAACCAGTTTATCTCAAATTGAAACATAAAAGAACCAAATTAACATCAAAATCAATGTTTCAATTAACTTAATAAGGCATAAATTATAATTTTATTGTAATTATAAATTTTTTCTCACATTTCATTAACACATGCTTTTCCAAGTCTACTTCCAACTTAAATTTGAATTTTAATTGTATTAGAATAACAGTGAAGAAATTCTTTTTCACTTTTCTATTGATCATGATCCTTTATTTTTGTGAAAATTTTGGAATTGTGTTTTCCTCTTTTAATCTCTATAGATTAATCATTGTATAAATTTGTGGCAGTTGTTGGTTGGTACATTGGTTCACTATTCCTACTAAATGGTTATAATCTTGTTAATGACTTATGATAATGGATGTTAATTTGTCTGAAAGATAAATCTAAATTGTGCTACATTTACAAGTACAGATATGAAAATATCTTTTATCTTTAAAAATGTAATATCAAAATGTTAGGTAACACTATGCAGCAAGTTATGAACCTTGTAATTATATTAATTCATTTACCATATTTAAAATATTCAAATTGTATAATATTATGGTAAATGGGTGCTGGATAGTAATTTTGGTCTTGACGATATAGGATACTGTTTTATGATAATTTTACTATTATAGACAAGACAAATTAACTGATTGCCTGTGCAATATCGGATTTGCAGGATAATAGGTTTCAATTTGACAGATGAAAATAACATATATAAAAATGTCAGCTTATTGTTTCCTTGGTCCATATTACCTAGAAGTCAGTCCTACAGACATGAATTAAATGTTAATCTATTGGGTACTGGTAATAGAATAGTGAATATTTAAGAAATTAGAGAATAACAGAATCCCTAAAGAAAGCTCAACACAGCAAAATTGAAAATGTATCTTTTGTCAAAATGATTTATAGTGTGTGTGTATGTGTGTGTGTGGGGGGGGGGGAGGGGAGGTCAATATAATCTAATAGATCTCAGTTCTGACCACGGATTTATATTACAGGGATCGGACACTCCCAGTTAACCCTATATAAATGCTTAAATATCTTGTCGTGCACCCGATAAAGGTACATCGATCGATAATTTACCGGCGCGAAGCGTAAATGCCCGTTCGCAACGGATACCTACTTTACAAAATACCATATAGCTTTTTCATTTATTATCCGGTTTTGGAAATTTAAAGTTTATTTTGAAGAAAAATACTTGGTTAATTCAAATATCTAATTTATTTTTTAAAGGTTCAGTTTATCTGTCCTCAACGATGGTTAAAAAATTAACTTGACGAAATCCGCGGTAAATTTACATTTTTTTATATAAAAAGCAGGTATTTGAAATTTATTATTACGGTACCATTATACTTTCAGTTTCAAAACAAAAAAGAAGCCGATGTAAGTTATTCACAGATGATCAAAGATGCAATATTTAAGATTTGTTGGGTTATGTAGTCAAATTTATTAACGCACAATTGTTTTACGGGTAATGTATTGCGGCCTTTACACGTGAAGAAAATTTATTCATTTTTTAGTACAAAATATTGCCGAGATTGTCAATATTGCCATATTCATAGAATATTTAAATTTCATTCATCATTTATATCATTATTATTTTTTGTAAATCTGTTTTCAAATGTCGGTGCAGTGAAGTAGACAATCATTGTAACAGTAAAGTTCTCTCGTGTGGCTGTCTCGATTCCGGCCTTTTTAATGTCACTCGTATATTTTAATCCGTATATTTTAATTATTCTTTTTATTTGAATGCCTGTAGAAAGATATTTATTATACTTTTTAATGTAACGCTAGAAAAACAATAAAAATCTTTACAGTTTGAGTCAGTATTTTGCGAAATAAAAGTAACTGTTGATTATTTTTACACATCGCTTAAATTTCTTTCAAGTTTAATTACTTTTGAAGGGGGGTAAGTGATAATTAAAAAACTTTATTTCCAAACTTTCATTACCAGGTTACATGTGATAATTGCAACACCCAATCTTCAAAAACAAATATAATCTGAATGTATATTTTGTATATGTGCGGTCTTTAACTACAGTTCATGGCATATGTGGTAAGAAAATGATTCTGAAGAGGATATATATAAATACAATGTAAATCTATTTTCTTTATTAACATTTATAAATGAAATTGAAAATATACAACTAAATTTGTATAGTCCTTTCTCTGAAAAATGATGAAAATAAACATGTGATAAATAAATCATTTGACGTGAATTGTTTAGGATATCTATGAAAAAATTATGTTTCAAAATAAAAAATAATATTATAAAACAGCTGTTCTCTATGCCAATAAAAGTTTCTTCCTTGCCAATCTAATGAATTCATCTATCGATTTATTCAGGGAATAGACATACATGTATACACATACAATTTTATCACAGATATCAACTTGAATATAAATAAAAACACACACATAAATGCACAAAAATAATTATACGATTAATCAATAAGTATGTTCTATGTAACCCTTGGATTGCCCATTAAGCTAAAAGCTTATTTCCAATGGGGTCCATTTTCTGTAAAATTATTACACTAACTTACATAATGATAAATGAATTATAAAGAAGTTAAACTTAATGACAATTTTCAATAATCAAAACACATTTTTCAATATAATAAGACAAGTACATTGTACACAAACAAAATGAAAAAAGTATATCTATATAGGAATGCTTGTCTAGAATGATCTGAAAATATATTTAATACACTTAATAGTAGAATATTTACTATATTTATACTAATATACAGGTAATCAAATAAAAAATGTACAAATCATTTGGAAATAATTCACAGAAATAAAGACACATTTCAAACATGAATTTCTTTAAAAGTTTTTTAGCAATCAAGAAACGTTTTTTTGCAATGCCATCATTAAACCATGTAAAAATAATTATCTTATTCTGAATCGCGGTAATAATTCGTGCTTGAAGTAAAAGGGCGGCGAAGTGTAGAGAGTATGCCTAAACAATAGGCGAATATTTTTTAAATTAGGTACTTTTTAACTAAGCGTTGCAGCGTTCTATCAGCATATTTTCATATAATAATACTTTAGCGACACAAAATAATACTGTATCAATACATTCATATGTGTATAATTTTTCACAAAGCTGCAATAATACCACATACTCCGGTGAAAATCTGTCATATTTCGTACTCCGCACGTTCCGCCATCTCATTCTGTCCACCTTTATCCGATTCCGCGCATGCGCGCGACGGGACTTTAAGCTAAACGAAAGTGTCCGATCCTTGTAATATAAATCCGTGGTTCTGACATTTTATTTTTTGAATAAAAACAGATTTAACCACAAATTGGTTGTGATGGACTTCTAACTGAAATACACTAAACTGATAATTTGAATAACACAGATACTGCAATATTTAAGGTCTGATATAGGCACCTAACACTGCCTATGGCCACAGGATTCAGGAAATTGACATTCTATAATAAGGCTAACGTCAACCTAGCCTAATATTTTGAATTATAGAATAAGTGTCACGCTGATAAGATGATGTAGTCTATACAATTAAGACATATATGATACATTTATCAGGTGGAAACATATCTACTATTATTTAGTTTGCTAAAATACTCACTTTTAATTTGACTTTTTCACCTTTACCATCAAGTTGGCAGCAACTTTGTTTACATCTGTGAAGCCGTAAATTCGTATTCTGAATAATATTTATATTTGCAGCTAAAGTTATTTTTATCAAGTATGTATTAAACAAAATTACTTCAAAAAAACATATTTTATTTAATTGAAATTGTTATCACCTTTTAATATGACTAGATATATGTGTTTATATATCTTCATATTTGAAGCCGCAGTTTGAATAAACAAGATGGCGGAAAATTTGAGTGTTCCTGCCGATTTTGCGGAAAATAAGCAAAAAGGTCGGTTTATAAGGCGCAATAAAACATCGCTATAGTAAAAGAATACAAAATATTATACAATAATATTGTAATCAGCACAACTTACTATTGTATTCTCAAGAGTGAATTTTTTTGCACAGTTAAATTTTGTTAAAATCTGAAGCAAGCTCAGGCCTGAAAATATACATTCTCTCAGAGGCGTATCTAGGCCCGAAGGGTTGAAAAGAAACGGGATATTTATCTAGTACTCTTCCAATTATGTCAAATCCATCGCATGGGGGGGGGGCACACAGACATGTCTCAGGGATGCCAATTTTCCGTTAGCGTTAAATATACCGACCAATCGTAGCGTCTTTCTGTAGTTGAAGAAAGCAAAACAAATTGTCGGCCGTGAGCAAGAAAGAAATTTATACATGAATAATGGCAGCAATTAACTCCAACAAGGCTTCGAAAATCAAAGACTGTGTAAAAAATGTTAAAAATAAGTTTAATTTGAAATGGTTAGAGAACATTGTAAATGTGAATATCGGATCAACTGAGACAACCGTCCGCATTGGTGACGAATATTCCTGGACAAGCTTCGTGTCGACTATGTTCAAAACAAATTAATTATGGTAGTTGAGGGTTCGTTGCAATCGAGGATCACGTCAAATCGTAATATTATTACAGTTATAGATACTGATTAATTTCATTGAAATTAAAGTCTGCCTTAACTTTGTTACTGCCAGTCAAAGTAATACAATATCATTTAATGAAAATAATTGATAAAGCACTAAAAGGAAATGCATTTTAGACCATCTGATAAGGATGAAAACCCAGGAGCTTCCGGGGGCTTCACCCCCTGGTCCCCCACCAGGGCTCTGCCCTGAACCTGCATGGGGGCCTACGCAGCCCCCATGACCACTTGCGTTTAATTTTCCTCTTTTTTCAAAATTGTCTGTTGGCATCCCTGATGTCTGCGTAGAAAGTTAAAAAGAGATGATTAAAAGCACCACAGGTGCTTGAAACAAACTTTTTAAAGTTTTATATGGGCTTTATACTATAATAAGATATAAGGTCTCCAACAGAACACAAACATAATGCTGAACAAACAAGATCACTGCTGCAAGGAACGACCAGATCACGGTTATCTCTTTCTGGTCGACATTCGAAAGGATCATTTCAAGCGTTAACACTTTTTAATTCATTAAAATTCTTTAAATAGCAAAGAAATGAGTAAAAGTTTCATAAAATGCCAATATTTTCAATCCATGTCGTTTTCGACGTCCAATCTATTCATGTATACAAACATGATTTCTGGTCGATTTCTACGAAATAAACAGAAAACGTCTAAAATTTCCGCATAAATTTCATAAACAAACTCTTTTTCTATCAATCTGCGAAGTCTAAATTGAACTTAGTAACAGCCCTCTTTGTACGCAAATATCTAAAAAATATTGGTTGTAGAAGCGGAGATCAAGTAAAGTGCGCCATTTTGATTTTGAAGTGACAGGTAAATGAAGCAAAGAAATAGTATTATACGATTGGTCAATAGTATTCCGATAATTATCTTAACCAATCAAATCCTTGTATGATATTCAGAGCAGAACAGTATATACATGCGCTATGCATGGCGATAAAATACTGTCACAAGCGGGATCCTTTTGTATTTTTAAAGATTTACGTTTGAAGGGGGCTTTTGATCAGTTAAGACTTCGCAAAACGATAGGAAAAGAGTTTGTTTATGGAACGTACGTAGAAATTCTAGCCGTTTTTTGTTTATTTCGTAAAAATTGACCAGAAATCTTGTTTGTATACATGAATGGTATGGACGTCGAAAAAGACATGAATTGAAAATAATGGCATTTTGTGAAACTTTTTCGCAATTTCTTTGCTATTTGAGGGATTTTAATGAAATAAAAAGCGTTAGCACATGGATTGATGCTTTTAGATGGCCACCAGAAAGAGATTACTGTGATCTGGTCGTTTCTTGCAGCAGTGTTTTTGTTTGTTCCGCATGATGTTTTTGTTCCGTTGGGGGCCTTATATCTTTATATACATATATGGACCGGTCATGTAAAATATTTGATTATGTGACTAGCGCCTGTGAAAAGCACAGGGTGTTCTCTCAATTTTTTAGCTCGACTATTCGATAAGAATAAGTAGAGCTATTATAGTCACCGGAGCGTCTGCGTCGGCGTAACCACTTGTGTTAAAGTTTTTGTAATACCTCAGATATTTTCAAAGTCCATTGACATATGGCTTTGAAACTTTGCACACTTGTTCACCATCATGACCCCAACCTGTAGACAGGAGGAGGTAACTCTATCAAGCATTTTGACAGAATTATACCCCTTCTTCGACTTAGAATTTAAGTTAAAGTTTTTGTAATACCTCAAATATTTTCAAAGTTCATTGACATAAGGCTTTGAAACATGTTGAAATTTTATACTCTTCTTTGAGAGCATAATAGGACTCTCTCCAAGGCCTATAACTGTAATATGGATTTAAAGAAAAATTTTGCCTTTTTCTTTACTGAAAATTTTACCTTTTAATCAAGGCTTTTTTTACTATCAAGCACTAAGAATAGTCCAGCGTTGCTGTCCTACCGACAGCTCTTGTTCGATTCCCACTCTATATATATTTGTCATGGGTCGATTTATTTGTTATGTTACATGTTCATTTTGCCTTGCACTGTTCGTCAATTAGTAGCGGAAAAAGTATCTTAATGTCCATGCATGCATCGATTGTCATTTGTTTCCATCAGAAGTCTGTTATCGTTTGCTATTGTATTGTATTGCCCGATATGTAATGAATGCTTATTAGTGGAAATTCACGGAAACGTCTGAGACAGTTCAACTATGACCATATCTCGTGCAATTTTGTGAACTGTTTTTGTATGTCCATTCGTGTTTAACGTTGTATGAAAAGGATTTGAGAGAATGTTTTACATTGGTTTTAAACATTTCCTTTCTTCCAAATTCCCGCAAACTTTCCTTCTCCAGATCACATTGTCTTTAATTCTCTTATGAGTTTAGATATACAATTTATACAAATTACATTAATTCTATATTTTCATTTTGGAACTAAATTACTATTATTATTAAGTTATTTTCATTCTTTATTGAGATGCTGTGATAAGATTATTTTCATTTCATTCATTTATACATGTAATTTTAATTTGTAAGGCTCAATTGTTGTATTTTATGTATGTTTTAATTAACTTGTATTATAATCAAATATTTATGTTTTAAGGCTTTTTCTTCATATTACCGGTATATTCATTAGGAGTTCATCATTTATTATACCCTGTGATATATTAATATGAAATTAGGTGCTACCTATCATGTGGAAAGCTTTTATGACTTTAAAACAAAAATAAAATGTTCAATACATGTATATAAAACAGATCTTTTTGATTTGTGATGCACACTGATATAGAACATGGCTGGATGAATTATTCCAAGGCAGAAACATTCCTTTCTAACCTTACATGTTATTAAGTTTTAAAGTTATATATGCTTATTGTTACTTTGTGGATATTTAATGGATTATTCAGTTTATTTTGTCCCTGTTGGTTTTATACATCTAAAATCTCTTAGTCTGAGTAGATCAATGAGCATAACATTTAACTTTGCTAAGTGAATGAACCTCCTAGTCCATATACACTTAGCCAGTGGTTGGAAAATCACATCTAGATCTATATTTACAAACCTCATTTGGAATATGTACTGCCGTGACACAAATGATAAGTGAAAAGTTGTAACTTATCATCTGACAATAAAGGATTAGATAGTTGTTACAAAAAAATCAGGATATAAAGGAGCTGATATTTTAGAAGTAAAAATGTGCTTAAAAAATTTGTTGGCAAAGAAAATTGTTTACATAGGTTATTCAGATACACTATAGGTGAGATACACTATAGGTGTAACAATAATGTGCAAAATGGGGCAATGTGGAGTGATGTTTATAATGTTTCGCTATTCTTCACAGCAAGACAATAGTTCATAGAGGTTTTTTTAACATAAAAGAATTAGCGGTTAATGCCTATAAAATGTTTGGCTTATTGATAAATATGAAACACTCTTTCCAAGTTTCCAGTTAGGATTTGGTTTTATTGCATTTTACCCCATGAACGGATGTATAACTTATATATATTTTCTCTACTTCTTTTTGGAATTTCATGAACAGGTGTATAAGGGAATGCTTAGGTAAGCACCTGTCCGTCTGAATAGATTTTACCTTTGAGACTCAAGATTAAAGACCATAGCATTAGGGCAGTCTTTGTTTTCTGTTTTCAGTTGTGAATATGAACTTGTTACCACCTTCAGCTTTTCAAACTAAAACCAGACAAGGAGATCCCTGGAAGGAGATTGCAAAAGCCACAGAGGAAGTTGTTAAGCTAAAAATAGAAAATACAAAACTCAGGTAATCCCTTTAGATCTTATTCTTTTAGATCTACAGATAAATATAGATTATATATATGTGTATAGACTATAGGAGTTTATGAAAATATCATACTGGCTGCCTTTGCAAACCAGAATATCTAGCTTGACGGTAACTGTACAGCAATAATGAGGCTAAACTGAGTTTCCACAGGGTCGCAAACAGATCCCCAAGACCTGGATATCCCCTCCTAGATGACAATGACTTCTTAATTCTTTATCTTGCACAATACACATAAATTATATTTCAAAAAGAAAATAAGAAAACTTATAATTTTATAAAGTATTTACATTGACCTATATCTAAGTGTTATATTTGAGTGCAGCAGTACTATAAAGTTTGGTATTGTACCCTAGCTTTAAGATTTTGGATTGTTTGTTTACTTTTAGAGAAGCTCAGAGAAAGTCACCTGAACCAACTGTATTCCAGCCAGCCCCTGCACCTGTAATTCAGGTATTGTGTCAAAATTTATTTATATAATTAACATCATTTGATATATTACGGTATAAATACAGAGAAAAAAAATGAGGAGCTTTATATGTATATTTGATGTTATTAAAAAAATGCATATATTTTGTGAAACCACCATTTGAATGTACATGTACTTAAGAAGCATCATATCTTTGGGGTTGGGAGCAAAGTTTTAGCTGACAGATTGTTGTAAGTGATATTTTATACTAATTATAATATGAATGTGCAAAATTTTGTCAAATTAAACAAATTAAAATATTTTCACATCTTGTTTTTGTCCAGGAGCCAGTGCAAAGATCATCTTCACCAGGAATATGCAAATACTCTTCCAAAAAGGAGGATTTTAAATACATTGATGAACTGATTAACAAACAGGCTGGGGAAATTACTGATTTAAAAAATGAACTGAGATCTGTAAAATGTCTTCATAGAGAAGAAATTACTGAAATGGAAAGGCAGCTAACTCTAAAAGAAAGAGAATACACACATCAGGTTACCACCCTTGAAGTAGAATTGAAAGCTACTGAAGATAGATATGAAAGTCAGGTAAATATTAAACTTGCTAAATTTTGTGTAAAGTTTGGTTTTATTATAAGATAAAGATTGTCAAATAGCCTAGACAAAAAGTTATATTATTGTAACGTGCAAACTGTTGAAAAGGATCAGGATGTGGTAATATTATAGTTATGAACTGAGATTTGAAGAAAGAAAAAGATAAATGAAATATTATATAATAGATCTATTCCAATTAATTTTAAATAATTGTTGAGGGTAATATTAGGTTAGAACATAAAACACAATTACTGAACTAGTGTAAATGTGGTATGTAGTGGAAATGCATCATATTATTTTAGATCATCACATACATATGTATTTTCATTGATTTTAGCAGCATATTCAATGAACGAAAGTTTTCGTTATATAGACTTGTTGTTCTATACATTTGTTTTTAACAAGAACCTCTGTGGCATAGCTCTGTAGATTTCTTATTTTAAAGTATTTTACCAATTATCATTGGTTTTTGCTGTTTTTTTTTGGGGGGGGGGGGGGGCTTTTTTAAACTTACAAATTCATTGGAGAAAAATGTGTTACAGCATCTGAGCATGCCAATTAGGTGCTTGTCTTTGACTGTTATTCTTCTAGGTATTTCCATAAGTTTTTAAGCTGGAAAAGTCAACGTATGTCCCAGATAATAACTTTAAAATTTAGTTCATCCTTAGTCTACTGGCAGCAGCTGATTCTACCTATGTGACCAGTACAGACCAACATCAGCCAGCACATAAGTGCCATGGTCCTGATCATGGTCTGTACTGTTTGCTGTTCAGTCAATACATATAATGAAATTTTCCCTTAAAAATGAAGAATGGTTATGTCCAGATTGAAAGATGGGCAAGTCCATTTAAGAGATTTAGCAAAGTAAGGGTTTTAACAATGCAGAAATTGTCGATTTAGATTGACAGGTTAAGTCGTGAACATCAAAGGGAGACAGATAATTTGAGAAGTACAATAGGCAAGCTTCAAGATGAGTTAGAAAATATCAAATCCAGATCGTCGGAGAGAATAAATGATCTGGAAACAACTTACGAGAATTTTAAACAAAACAGCAATGAACACGTGGAAAAACTCCTGCAAGAATTAAAGTACGTATATTTATGTATCTATGTAAATAATCTATTTAAGAAGTAAGATATTTTAAACAATCTCTCTAACAATTATATGTTTATGACTGATTCTTGTATTATTTTCTGGAATTTTGTTTGAAATGTTTGTTTTTGGCTTATACTACATCACCATTAAGCAGGTTTTAAGGTAATAGTAGATATATATTGTATAGGATTTGTTTAAAACTTAAAGCACTTATTTGGGTTACATATCCTGGAATGACAAGCTTATTTGTGACTTAAGAAAACACAGTTCAGTAGATTTTGCATGCATGTTTCCTGGAATAAGTGACAGCCTCCCAATTATTAAAATACTGTTGTTGTTTTTTATACCTTTTTACCTATCAATAGTGAATAAAATAGTAGATATATTCCATACATGCAATTTATACTAAAAAAGGATATAGAGGTACCATTTAGATAAAAAGAATGATCTTTGGTGAAGCTCTGCAATATAAAAGGCGACAACAATGTAGAAAAAAAGTATTTATTAATTATCCTCTACATAAACTAAGAGAGGGTATACAACAACAACAACACAATTTATTAAGCATTAGACACCTGAAAGATGTATATAGCTAATATTTACAAACATATACTGATATGAACTTGAAATGAAGCTATACAAAATACAAAGCGCACAATTCAGATAGCACCTCACAACAATGTATATTCCATTACAGGTCAAATGAAGTGACAATAGAAAATCAGATGAAGCAAATAGGACAGTTAAAGAAATATATAGGGGAGACTGAAAACTTGCCAAAGCCCAAAGATATAGCTAGAAAAGAAATGGAATCAATGCTTACTAAAATAAAGGTATTCTTTCTGTTTGTTTTGAGAATAATGTATTGACATTATATACAACAAGAAGTATTACACATGCATTTATACTTCTTCCTCACTTGACTGATTTTATTATGAATATCTAGAAACATTTGTCTATAACTTTATATTACATATATGTAATATTGGGGGTCTCTGTGGCTAAGTGGTTTTGGTCACTGACTTAGAACATTTTTATCCCTGATTGCTGTGGGTTTGAATCCTGGAAGGGACTTTCCAGGGAATTCTTTCATGTAAGGAAGTTATCCAGCTAGGTTCAGGAATGTGCATGGTTCTTTCTACTAGGGTGCCAGCTTCTGCTCTAAATAATGCTGGCAGGTGGGGAACTTGAAGGTTCCATATACTAATAAAACTTAAAAGTCACTATACTGACATTTACAGTGTTAGTATGGCTTAAAACCCAATCAATCAAAAAATTAAACATTAATTATAGTTGAAATAGTACTAAATAACTCTGGCACATTTAATTTTAGATTAAGAGAGTGTTTTAGTTCATAAATAACTTGACACACGTAGATCCAAAATATTAACATTATTTAGTATTGTTATTTTATTTTAGTATGATATAGAAGGACTGTTTTGAAATTTTATAATTTAAGTCTTATGTGATTGAAGGATTCAAATATTTCTCATTACCAATAATTCTTGATTTTTAAAAAAAAATTATTGTTGTTGTAAACTTCAGGCTAAGGTAGATGTTTTAAAGCTTTGCAGCATAATAAAACATGCATCACATAAAGTTTAAGATTTCTTAGAATTGTGGCCTCCATAGTCAGTAATAAGTCACCCCACAGCCACCCCCGCCCCATCCCCCCCCCCCCCCCAAAAAAGACAAAAAAAGGAGTAATGAACAACTTATTATGTTTTGTATTTCAGGTATATGAGACAGAGAAGGAGAATACAAACTCTACCATACAACTGTTAAATATCAGGTTAAACTCAATGAATGAAATCCTTAAACTTCAAGAACTAGAACTCAGCAAGGTATTTTTTACAATGAATTTATTTAGATATCTTCATACTAATTAGTGTATTTGTGTTGTCTAACAAAACAACACATTTTGTTCTTGCCAGTTTAAAATAAAGACTACAATGGTTTGAGAGAAAACAAGGTTTGGATTTACATTATGATTATGATTGGCTTTATGATCAGATGTAGGTTGAGTCAAATAGATACAGTATACATAATTGAGCCGCGCCATGACAAAGCCAACATAATGCGTTTGCGACCAGCATGGATCCAGACCAGCCTGCGCATCCTTGCAGTCTGATCAGGATCTATGCTGTTCGCTAACAAACCCTATAACAAGTATAAAAACTGATAGCGAACAGCATGGATCCTGATCAGACTGCGCGGATGCGCAGGCTGGTCTGGATCCATGCTGGTCGCAAACCCATTATGTTGGCTTTGTCATGGCGCGGCTCATATTATTTTACACTTGTATGGGCATAATGTCACTTTAATGTTCCATACAGACAGGATTTGAACTGAGGAGGCTCTATGTGTCCTATATTGTAGTCATCTTGTACATGGTATATTTGTTCTTTTGTTAAACACAAGTCTGCTTATATTATGGAACTTCTGAAATGGTACTTTTGCAAATATTTTGGCAAGCAAAAAGTTAATTTTTTTGACATTTATAAACTTTTCATGACGTAAAAATATTCACTTATACAGTAAGTGTTTATTGTAAAAGAAAAACAATTCTCATTAACATGTATATACCATACCCTATAAAGAAGTATTTTATTTAGGTTATAAAACAAAGAATAGATATGTTAGTAAATATACATGTATTATTTATACATGTAGCAGATAAATGTAATAATGATAGTGGTTGAACAATTTCTAACAATATGTACTTACAATACATTACTTTTTACAAAGTGTGTGTTTACTATTTTCAGTGTTCCAGTGAAGGAGATAAAAAGAAGAAGGAAAATTTGTTATTAACAAGGTTAGTGTTTTAATTTGTGTTTACATGTGATATTTATTGGTACAGTTTACGCAAGTTCATTTTCTATGAGGTGAGTTCAGAGTTCTCATTTAATGAAAGTTTATATTTCTTATTATTTAAATGTTGGCTGTTGTCAGTAAGGGACCTTTGTCAATTGGTGAGCTGTTGAAGTAGGTGATTTCAAACACATCTAATCCACTTTGTTTTTATCAGTGATCAATTGTTGACATCTGTTCTAAATTTTAAGTTGCCAACTTGTGATACATAATTCAATTTTGTAATGTACTTGAAAAACTACATGTTAATTGGTGATAGTTTATAACAGATGGAGGGGAAAAGGTGTTACCTAATGGTAACAGACAGAATCTCAATTACTATCCCTGTTTAATGAAAGAAGAGAGTAAAGCCTGGAAAGCCAAGGCTTGTTACAGGATCATAAACTGTTCCTCATTACATGCAGTGTTTTATTTAATGACCTAAAACTTTGTTACAGTCATAACTGTCTCATTACATGCAGTGGTGTTATATTAATGAGCCTAGAACTTTGTTACATACATAACTGTCTCATTACATGCAGTAGTGTTATATTAATGAGCCTAGAACTTTGTTACAGTCATAACTGTCTCATTACATGCAGTGGTGTTATATTAATAAGAGCCTAGAACTTTGTTACAGTCATAACTGTCTCATTACATGCAGTAGTGTTATATTAATGAGCCTAGAACTTTGTTACAGTCATAACTGTCTCATTACATGCAGTGGTGTTACATTAATGAGCCTAGAACTTTGTTACAGTCATAACTGTCTCATTACATGCAGTGGTGTTATATTAATGAGCCTAGAACTTTGTTACAGTCATATCTGTCTCATTACATGTAGTTGTGTTATATTAATGAGCCTAGAACTTTGTTACAGTCATAACTGTCTCATTACATGTAGTGGGGTTATATTAATGAGCCTAGAACTTTGTTACAGTCATAACTGTCTCATTACATGCAGTGGTGTTATATTAATGAGCCTAGAACTTTGTTACAGTCATAACTGTCTCATTACATGCAGTAGTGTTATATTAATGAGCCTAGAACTTTGTTACAGTCATAACTGTCTCATTACATGCAGTGGTGTTCTATTAATGAGCCTAGAACTTTGTTACAGTCATAACTGTCTCATTACATGCAGTGGTGTTATATTAATGAGTCTAGAATTTTGTTACAGTCATATCTGTCTCATTACATGCAGGGGTGTTATATTAATGAGCCTAGAACTTTGTTACAGTCATAACTGTCTCATTACATGTAGTGGTGTTATATTAATGAGCCTAGAACTTTTGTTACAGTCATAACTGTCTCATTACATGTAGTGGTGTTATATTAATAAGCCTAGAACTTTGTTACAGTCATAACTGTCTCATTACATGTAGTGGTGTTATATTAATAAGCCTAGAACTTTGTTACAGTCATAACTGTCTCATTACATGCAGTAGTGTTATATTAACGAACCTAGAACTTTGTTACAGTCATATCTGTCTCATTACATGCAGTGGTGTTACATTAATAAGCCTAGAACTTTGTTACAGTCATAACTGTCTCATTACATGCAGTAGTGTTATATTAATGAGCCTAGAACTTACATACAAAATCTGTAAATAAACGGTAACATCATGAGATGGTGTGTTGGGCCCAAGAACCAAGTTGCTAAGTCAAAGGTTAAGTTCTTTAAGTCAAATGCAAATAAATGGTCTCAAACAGCTTGTCGGCACCATAACTCTATCAGAAGCTGGGTGGAATTTCAAAATAACCCTGGCACAAAATGTTTAACATCATGAATGGTGCGTTGCAGGCAAGAGCCTCAAGGGTCATACCTCACCAGTCAGAATGGGGACAGCTTGCCTGCACAATAAATCATTGGTGAAAGAATTTGTAATTAACTGGGCACATAATGTTCTCATTGAAATTAACAATGTGTAAAGCATGTGTCCCCCGTTTCACTTCTTCCTTCTGCCATTTCACAGTAAGCAGAACCTCGACATGTTGTCCTTGGGCATCTAGTTTTAATGATAACTCGGAATTTAAATAATTTGTTCAGCCTATATTGTGTGGAGTTTAAACAGTAACATATCTTCCTGGTGTGTACTCAAAAAGATATTTAAATATTTAAAAAAGAGACAGTAAAAGCAAATTTTCAGTCCCTTTAAAAAAAACAAATTTTAAACATAATTTTTATCTAGACTTATGTATTCCTTGAAAAAAAATAATTTTTAGTGTAGAAGGGTAAATAAAATAGCAAGGGAAATAAAATGTTTAAAAGGGTATAGGGGCTAAACATGTATCGTTTTTTTCGGGTTTTTTTTTAAAGTATTAAATTGGGAATTATTTTTTGTAAATGTCCCCTTTTAATGGTAAAATATAATTATGATAATTTTAGGGCCCTGGGCACGACAAACCCAACATAATGGGTTTTGGCCCACCAGCCCTGGATCCAGACCAGGCCCCGTCATTCCCCGGCTGTCTGATCAAAGGATCCTGCATTTTTTGTCAATTTCCCTACTTGTTAAGGGTTTTTAAAACAAAGCAATTTGGGTCCCGAATTTAGCTTGTGCGGATGCCCCAGCTTGGTTCCCGGATCAAAGCTGGCGGGGGAAAAACCGGTTTTCCATCACGGGTCATTTTTGTTTCTGCAGGTGGAAGGTTTAGAGGAGAGGTTATCATCAGCCAGGAACCAGATAGAACAATTATCACATACTCTATCTGATAAAGATGCTCAACTAAATATAGAATCTAACAACTGTAAGGTATGTCTACCATATATATTTTATTATATGACACATTTCTAACGTGGCTGTTCACTGGATAATCCTGGCTTTTCTCTGGATAATTATGTCTTTTCACTGGATAATTGTGGCATTTCACTGGATAATTGTGACTTTTCACTGGATAAATGTGGCATTTCACTGGATTATAAATCATGTAAGTGACTTCACTGGATAATCCTGACTTTTCATTGGATAATTATGTCTTTTCACTGGATAATCGTGACTTTTCACTGGATAAATGTGGCTTTTCACTGGATTATAAATCATGTAAGTGACTTCACTGGATAATCCTGACTTTTCTCAAGATATTATTCTTTTCACTGGATAATTGGTGGGCATTTTCACTACTGGGATAATTGTGACTTTTCACTGGGTAAAATGTTTGGCATTTTCACTGCGATTATAAATCATCGTAATGACTTCACTGGATAATCCCTGACTTTTCTCTGGATAATTATGTCCCTTTTCACTGGAATAATCGGGACGGTCGCACGTGGATTGGAGTGTGGCCTTTTCACTCGGATTATATTTCCATGCATTTCACTGGATAATCCTGGATTTCACTTGATAATTGTGGGCCCATTTCTATTTAAATTTATATACGCTGCCCTGTTAAAAATTATTTTCCTTCAAATAAGTAGTAGATGCTGAATTGTTAAACAAATAATAAAGATTTTGCGACATTTTAAGTGGATGGTGTAATAGATTGTTCTTTTGCAATAAGTTGAAAACAATTTTTTGAATGGTGAAAGCTTCAAATAATTGTATGTACATGTTTATCAGGTTATAAATTATATTTGCTATTTATTTACAGAAATTACAGCTTGAATTATCAGAGGCTCAGCAACTTGCCCTGTGTTTAGATGATAGAGTTCAAGAAAATGTTCAAAATGCACAAATCTTACAAGAATTTGCTGCAAGGTATATGTAGTTTAAAATTAACAAGTTAAAATCCAATAAGTATGTCCACTAGATTTTTTTATAAGATTGATACACTAATTGTAGTGTTTTGAGTGAATTGTTGTAGAATAATGCACAGTTCTAGGTAAAATATGCAAAAATACAATCAAGAGGGTTGATAGGCCTGAGTGATTAATTACCAAGCATTTGAACAATAAACTGTGCATTATTATACTTTATTACATGCTTTTCGGTGGTTTATAGAAATATATCAGTGATATAAAACTGGTAATTTCACTGTTTGAAACAGTGAAATTACCACTTTGATAATTTCGCTGTTTTGAATTTAAGCCCCTTACGTTGTTTCAGTGAAATACCAGCGTGCACAGTACTGGGTACCAACTTAATGACTTGACGTAGTAAATGATGTCACGTTGTATTATTATTTGGCGCGCTTTTCATTCAGTTTTAGGTTAAATGTCTTTTTAAAACGTTTCTTTGCATATAATAAAAAGAAAATTTGTTTAGTTTAGTGTAAGATTGAAATATATTTCACCTTGTGAACACCAAAAGTTCATATTTCACTCGTGGCTGCGCCACTCGTGAAATATACCTTTTGGTGCTCACTCGGTGAAATATATTCCGATCTTACACTGAACTAAACAAATATCCTCTATATAATGTAAGAAAAATGAATATTTATTTCCATTCTAAGAAGCTGATAAAAAAAGAGAATTGATAAAAATTCTTGGACTTCATTCAGTGTAGAGATAAATTTCCTTAGGTCATTTAATTTATTGACATCATCTATGACATCATATATGACGTGTAAGCATTTGTTTGTTTTGCTATGCATATATCGTGTATAAATGCACGCATTTGTCGTATCTCTTAGACAGAGGGAAAGTTTAAAGCATGTTAGAGTTCATAATAATAACATCTTACAAGAGTTTTTGTTATCCCACGCCGAATGGCGGCGGGGGATATAGAAATAGTCTCCTTCCGTCTGACCGTCCAAGATTTTTGTCCGGAGCATATCTCAAAAAGTATTTGAAGTATAAACTTGAAACTTCATAGGTGGATAGATCTCATTGAGGAAGAGTGCAGTTCACAGGAATGATAACTCTTCCCTGCATAATTTTTTAGTTATTGCCCTTTGTTATTTTTCAAACTTAAGTTTTGTCCAGAGCATAACTCAAAAAGCCTTTGAGATATCAACATGAAACTTCATAGGTGGATAGATCTCACTCAGGAGGTGTGCAGTGCACAAGAATGATAACTCTACCCTTCATAATTTTTGAGTTATTGCCCTTTGTTATTTTTCATACTTAATTTTTCACCTGAGTGGAGCATAACTCAAAAAGTCTTTGAGATGTCAACATGAAACTTCATAGGTGGATAGATCTTATTGAGGAGGAATGCTGTGCGCAAGAATGATAACTCTTCCCTTTATAATTTTTAGTTATTGCCTTTTGTTATTTTTCATACTTTTTGTCCGGAGCTTATCTCAAAAAGTGTTAGAGATGTCAACATGAAACTTCATAGGTGGATAGATCTCATTGAGGAGGAGTGCAGTGCACAAGAATGATAACTCTACCCTTCATAATTTTTCAGTTATTGCCCTTTGTTATTTTTCATACTTAATTTTTCACCTGAGTGGAGCATAACTCAAAAAGTCTTTGAGATGTCAACATGAAACTTCATAGGTGGATTTATCTTATTGAGGAGGAATGCTGTGCGCAAGAATGATAACTCTACCCTTTATAATTTTTGAGTTATTGCCCTTTGTTATTTTTCATACTTTTTGTCCAGAGCTTATCTCAAAAAGTGTTAGAGATGTCAACATGAAACTTCATAGGTGGATAAATCTCATTGAGAAGGAGTGCAGCACACAACAATGATAAACTACCCTGCATTATTTTTCAGTTATTGCCCCTTGTTATTTTCAGCCATCCGTATTCACCTAGGTTTCAAGTCTGTAATCACTTCAGTCATCAGTTTTCATTGCCAAAAGACCTCTTAAAATTCAATTATTCTGCTCTACTACATATACATTCTTCCAATGAGCAAACACATTCGGCGAGGGATGGCCATGTTGACATGGCTCTTGTTTAACTTAACACTGAAATTAAAATAAATGTAAAGGAACTCAAGTATTTATAGCAACATTGATATAATCATGTTGATTCTATGAATGAAGGCAGTCAGATAAGGGTTATATCTTGTAGCACTATATTATAATTACATATTACTGGTATATGTGTGAAGTTTGATACAGTTTTATTAAAAGAGGTGAAAGAAGTATTTTTCTTCTATTTTATAGTGTGTGGGCAAAATACCAGGAGAATTTAGAGATACTGTCTACAGCTATGTCCAGTCTGAAAGCTTATGGTCAGAGAATCAGCTTTGCAAGTGGACGTATGGAAATGTTACAAGGTAGCTTTTAATATTATGGTTTTATATTGTCATACAGATATAAATTATCTGAAACATATTATATATTCAGGTACCCTCATAAAATACCAATATATTTTCGCATATCTGCATTCATATAATGATGCTATTAAAATGTTACAGAACAGAACATAACCTTTATTTTGAGAGGCACAGATTACAAGGTGACTTTTTTGTAATTTTACAAGTGCGCAAAACATATAGCAATTCCTTGAGGAGTATCAGTATTATAAGTTTCTTTCTGCCTTATTATAGAAATAGTATTCAAATGAGAATAAAGTGCAATTAGTTACACATACACAGCAAATTATGTGCCTAAAATTTGTGTGTGTTTAACCATACTCTGATGACTTAGTATAATACTAGACTTATCAGCCCAAAACCTGCGGGAACTGAAAGTGATTAGCCTTTACCACCAGTATAGAGCCAGGCCAATCTGTACATCCATGCAATCTTACCAGGCTGTATACTGTTGACTGACTAACTTGTAATATTCTTCTTGACAATCACAATATTGAAGATAGGCAGTCCTAAAAATGGAATGCACAAGTCCATCTCAGAAATTCAGCAGGTTAAAGGTTGCTGTTTCAAGTTTTAACTGTCTTTTGTGAGATAAAAGGGATGCAATATCAAAATAATCTATGAAATTAAGCAGAGAATAGTATTCACAGAGCCTTGTTCAACTGTATCAGTAAGTTATCATCACTTGTTTCACTGTAAGAGTTAAGTGTATGATGCACTATTTCAGGATTATTTGCGAGGAAGGAAGCTATGTTAAAACTACAGATGGAGAAAGGAGATATACCAGAGAGAGATATCAGTCATAATGTTGAAGCTGAGAAACATGATAGGTAAAAAAAAATGCTGAAAATATATATGTCATGACCACCAAGGAATTCATAAAAAAGTATCAAATAAATGTGCAGTTAAACTTCATTCAATCAAACTCAGATCGCTCGAATACCACCCTTCACTTGAGAAATAAAGTGAAAATCACACCTTTTTCAGTCAAACACAAAAGCCAACAAAAGTTGCGGGTGGACATGTTCTGCATAAGTGACAGTTGGCGTCACGTTTTTAACACTTTGATATAATCTTCCTAATAGTTAAATCTCGTTGGCTTGAACTACCGATCTCTGGAACAAATTTACATAGGCCCTCTGAGTTTGAGCGAATGTAGTTTGACTTCATACGAAGTTAGTAGCCTATAGTTGAAGACAATTAATTTTTCAGAAGGTGAGATCAAAAGGAAAGTTCAGATCTAAGAAGTAATAAAATAAACTATTATTTAGACATGTGACTGTGTGTACAAGTGATATGATTTGTTCCTCACCATAAAATCAAATACCGAAATGTTTTGAAATATATAGGGTTATTTTACCTTATTCTGAGATAGAACAAAGTTTCTCTGTAACAATTATCTCAAGTATTTAGTCAAATGGTCATTGGTCTCTCATAGCTGATTCAGAAATCAGGTGAGAGGTAGTCAGTCACTGGTAGAGATATTGTTAATTACTGGTCAGTTATGCAGGAAAACTGGAAAGGTTTTTTGACCGTCCAGATATGACCAGGAAAATGTGTTTCATTTGGCATGAAAACAAACAAACTGTATCTATGTTGTTTTTCAACTTCCATTTCAGTGAAGAAATTTCATTTTAACATGTTGCTTTTTTATGTCATATACATTGAGGGAAGTTTATGATTAATTCTATATATTTTTTTACACCTTGTTTACAGTGAGGAAAGTTCATATTTACGTTGTGAGTTGGAGAGGGTTATACGAGAAAGAGATAACCTGGCAGCTCAAATAAAACAAGATTCTCAAACGTTAGACAACAAAATTCTCTCCATCAGATCTCAAGGTAAATTCTTCTTCTAGTAACATTTGAGCCGCGTCACGACAAAATCAACATAGTGCGTTTGTTACTAGCATGGATCCAGACCAGCCTGCGCATCCTCTCAGTCTGATCAGGATCCATGCTGTTGGCTATCAGTTTCTCTACTTGTAATAGAGTTGGTAAATGAACAGCATGGATCCTGATCAGATGGCGTGGATGCGCAAGCTGGTCTGGATCCATGCTGGTCGCAAACCCACGATGTTGGTTTTGTCATGGCGCAGCTCATTTGTTGTCATTAAGTTGAAAGATAGTAATCATTTTATGATTTATCAAACTTAAAGTAATTTTTTAAATATTTCAATTGAAGGGCCTTTTAAGTGAGTAAAACAACAATTCAATTTATTTCACATTATAACATGTAAATACAAAGAAAAGTCACTGATTTGCCAAAGATGAGTGCTATATTATTTTTTTGAGTTATTTCTGCTTAATATTTCCAAAAAGGAAACCTATATCATAATTCATTTGTAATCAGTTTGACATAGTTCCCAGTTTAGCAAAGGTGCAAAAGTGAGAAAAAACAACAACAAAAAACAGATAATTAAGAACTTTACTAAGAGATAGGTTGAATATCGATATTTATTGTGATTTTTAGCCTGATTTAAATTAAAAAGGTGAGCAAATGATCTCAACCTTCATCAAATTGTAAAAAAAAATCTCAAAAATAAAATTTCCAGTCTTTGTTAAAAAACTTCAGTGGCTTCCATGTATTTTATGAATGTATTTGTATGTAATGTTTGAATGATCTGACAAGTACAAAGTGTACAAAATTGTTTGTAAAGACACCATCACCACCCTTATTTCATATTCCAGTTAATTTAATTGTCTATTGTTGACATGGTACATTATTTGTTTATCTTTCATTAATTTTAGTGGAGGAAGAAATTGAAACATTAAAACAAGCCAACTCTGATCTGGAGAGTATTGTACAAGACAAATCACAGGTAACTTAATGATGTTATGTTCAAATCACAGCCATGTGCTCTTTTTTCATCAATTAAATTCTGTTAGCTAATTTAAAGATGATTTCTGTACATAATATAATTTATAGAGTATATGTCATAGGTTATTATATTCAGTAGATAGAGGATATTGAATGAGTGTAAGTTCAATACTGAATTTATTGCACAAGTTGAATAAAATTATATTATGCGAGCCTCTGGCGAACATAATATTATTTTATTCAACGAGTGCAATAAATTCAGTAATGAACTTACACAAATTTAATATTCTATTTATCACATACCAAAAAATAAAGACCTTTTAAAGTGAAATAAGAGTCATATTTCATTGACGCGCCTAAAGTATAAAGCTAACATTTAGTGCGTCTTTACACTATGTTTGTATAACGCTAATGACGTCACATCAAAATATATGAACGGCCGTGCATAACCATATTTACGGAGTCGCAAAATCGGCACGGGTGTGTGATAAAGATAATTATTTTACAGAAATGTTCTGAACTATCAGAGAAGTTGGAGAAATGTCAGAGTGATCTAGACTACGCCAACCAGAATATAGAAGATCTTAAAACCTCAATGGGCAAACAAGAATTAAACATGCAACAAAGTAAGTCTTCACAATTACTTTATGAAGTTTTTATATCATACCTAGATGATAAAGTAAATTATAAATTACTCAATTAAACCAGGTCTGTGATTTTCAATTTTTTTTGTTTTGTTTCATTTCTCTGAAGAGAACAGCACTTTCTATAGTATTTTATCGATGTAAACAGAGAGGTTACATTGTAATTAAGATTTGATCAACAATTTATAACATAATGATATCATCTACCTAGCTTTAATGAAGACTTAACATATGCAGATGTTTCAAAATTTTAGCAGTTCATGTTAAATGTTGAATCCTGCTTAAGCTGGTGCTAGGGGCTGTAGACGCTGGTGCAATTACTGCTATCATAAACAGGCTCAGTAAAACCAAGCCTGCAACATTTTCATTTTTGCCATTTTGGGCTTTCTTTAGGGAATCTGTTTTTCTCTTCTTTGTAACTATATCTGTTTACAAGGATAAAAGATATTTTTAGACATTACATATCAAAATCATAGATTCATGAATTAAACCACATTTTTGATTTGATAAAGATTAACTGTTGGCCATTTCCATTCTTTTTCTCAACAATGAACAGCATTAGTTAAATGTAAAATGTGGTATTAGTAAAAAGATTCCGATGAAGCTAGAGTACATTATAATTATATATAACAACTTGATATAACGCATGACAGATGATGAACTCTAATCTCCCTACAAACTTGAATGTAATTTTGTAAATTATGAGCTTGCTGATAGAAGTCTATTCATTTGTTTGCATGTGATGCAAATTAATGCACAAAACATGTAAATGCACAAAATGTGGACAACACATATAAAAAAATAATGCATAAAACATGCAAAAATAATGCATAAAACAAATAATGCAAATGCACTAAACATAAACAAAACATGGAGTTGGCTATAAAATGTTGATATGACTTATGCCCTCCCTTTACCATCTTCAATAGAAATTTATAAAATTTAATTTTTACAATTTAAGTCCTAGAGGAGCAGAAAAGGGATGTAGAGAACCAGTTCTCAGACAGACTTGCTGACATGGATAGACAAATTAATGAGGCTAAACGTGAACATGCTAAAGCAGGTATAACTATCTATTGAGTGTAATAACACCTGAAAATTATAAGTAAACAGCTATTCTGTGTTGTTTAATGTAAAATTTTGATGTATGATAAAAACATAATTAGAAAAGTTTTTAAGTAATTGATGTTTTAATTATTTGTATACTTACAAGTTTTCTGAAGAAAGTGAAGCTATTTTCAGTTGAAGAAATACTTAAATTGCAAAAGTTTCTCTATTAAGCACCTTGCATGTAATTAAATGCTTCAAGGCTTACTTTAATTATGTAAGTTCAATTGTGTAGAAAGCAATAAGCTTATAGATACACTTTCAAACCATTCCTTGAACCAACCAGTACTGAGCAATGTGTGTAAAGTTTCTTGCTCAAGAACACAACAACTTGCCCTTAAGCTTAACTGGGTTTGAACCCATGTGGCTAGCGATCATTAGATTACTAATTTTAGGCGTTAACTGCTTGGCCTGCCACCACAAACAGCCTACTCTTAATATAATTAAAATTAATCAGTTAGTTTTGTTGAGTTGTTCCTGTATAAATAATCAGCAGGTATATAATAAAAAGTTAAATTACATGACTATGATTTCCTGATGTATTGTATGAGTCTTGGTGATTGTTTAGAAGTTATTGCACAATTGCTGTTAAGTTTCTTTGAGAAATAACTTTTCACAATCAACTCAAGGGCAATTTACGCATCAGTGTAGCTCATTCATGCACTATTTTCTGGGTATATTACAGTTGTATCAGTACGACAGTTAGAGAGACAGATGTCAAGGGAGAAGGAGCGGGCCATCGAGCAATTATCTACGACGGAAGAACATTATAAACGGCAACTAGATCTTCTACATACACAACTGAAAACTATAGAGAAAGAACGAAATCTCATGATGGTAAATATCATTTAGAGTTTACCATTGTTAAATTACATTTAGTTACTATCTTAGTTATTAATATATGCTTGTTACGTTTAAATTATACTCAAACTAGAATATAATACAGTTGTATTAGCAGAAAATACCTAATCAATAGTTTCTTGTGACTCTATCAACTGATCATTAACAGTTTTGGTTTGTAGCACCCATGGATTGGCTTCTAAGTTTGTCAATTATAGTGAACTAGATTCTAGTTACTTCCTGTGGCAATCAACACATAGTTGAGATACTGATTGCTTTTAATGTCTGAATTTATCATCATTCAAACACACAGTATAACAATCATAAGCTGGTTGCAGAAATTTATTTTACATTTTACAAATGGATGCAATAATAAATGCTAGAATAATCTTACTATCATAGGGTTTTATGAGTCTGAAAAATGAGTTGGTCGGGGTTTTGACGGATTAAATATTGTATTGTGTTATTTATTTTAAAGAAATTGCAATACAACATTGACCATCCTTACCCTTTTTTGTCAAATTTCCAAATTTGATATGTTTTTGGGTTTTACTTCACATCGACACAGTATAGGTCATATCGCGACGTTCCAGCTTTACTGGTGGAGGAACACCTCAGGTGCCCTTCTGTGCATTTCAGCACGACCGGGCACCTGAGTAGAACCACCGAAATTCCAAATACTTAAGTCAGGCTGCAAGGGCATTGTGCTTTATGAAAAATCATGGTTTCTATTTTCATTTCTGTCTCAGTGTATGGAATTGTTTAATTCAATGTATAAGAAAAACATTCTGTCACATTGCTATTATGTTGTGTTCTAGGCAACTCTACGTCAAGAGGGACTTATTGGTAAATTGAGAAGTGAGAGACTGGAACCAGTTACACATAGTTTTGATGAGGAAGAGGAACCAGTCAGAGATCATACAGAGCCAGTATCTAATATTGATGCCACATATTCGCAGCCTGAATTGCAACAAGGTGATATACCATTTTCCTTTTTATGGGAGACTAAAGTGGCTGTTTTTTACTTTTGTTACCTTTACTTCCTGTTTTATTTAGAACTTTTATTCATTGAATGATACATTACATATTGGGCTTGTAGTTACCTTTCCTGCCCATTTAATTTTTGACAGGGTGATAAATAGAATGTTTCTAGCTCTTTGAAGTTTTAAATTTATTTTATGTAGGTTTTATGGCAATTCTTTTGTTGTGTCTGTGAGTATTTATCGGTGGCAGTTTCTTAAAGTAAATAATTACATGTAGTTAGTTTCATAATAAATAATTGTTAAAAATTGGAAAACATGATTTTGTCTGTAGGCAGTTTAAGTTGGAGTTTTGTTGTTTTTGGTATTATTTAGGTATTATAGAACTTATTGTATAAAATTGCCATTATAACTATAATATATAATGTTGAAAAAGTATGTATAAATTATAACATATTATATATAACATATATATATTTACAGAATCGGTAACAGAGGAGGCAATGACAACAGTGTTAGAAGATCTTAAATCATTGACAGATGCCGTGTTAAATGATGATAATTCTGATACAGATTCGGAGAATGATGTATAGCATTTACTGTGGAAATAGTGTTATAGTGACTGTGATATATTTAATTAATTTAGAGGTTGAAGCCACCTAAACCTGTACTAGATATTATCTTATTGTAGTGAGATATTATTATATAATGCCATTAGAGATATGTTAGATATATAAGTCTGATTTGTTGATAGTTTAATGGAACTCTATGACCTAGTGAGTTGACATCCTAGTGGTAATGGAACTCCATGGCCAAGTGAGTTGACATCCTAGTGGTAATGGAACTTCATGGCTTAGTGGAAATGGACCTCCATGGACCCTCCATGGCCTAGTGGTTACGGCTGTTGTTATCCTAGTGGCAATGGACCTCCATGGCCTAGTGGTTAAGGCTGTTGTTATCCTAGTGACAATGGACCTCCATGGCCTAGTGGTTAAGGCTGTTGACATCCTAGTGGCAATGGACCTCCATGGCCTAGTGGTTAAGGCTGTTGTTATCCTAGTGGCAATGGACCTCCATGGCCTAGTGGTTACGGCTGTTGTTATCTGAGTGGCAATGGACCTCCATGGCCCTAGTGGTTACGGCTGTTGTTATCCTAGTGGCGATGGACATCCATGGCCTATTGGTTAAGGCTATTGACATCCTAGTGGTTATGGACCTCCGTGGCCTAGTGGTGAGACTGTTGACATCCTGGTGGTATGGACCTCCATGGCCTAGTGGTTAAGGCTGTTGTCATCCTAGTGGCAATGGACCTCCATGGCCTTGTGGGCAGACTGTTGACATCCCAGTGGTAATGGACCTCCATGGCCTAGTGGTTATGACTGTTGACAATCTAGTGGCAATGGATCTCCATGGCCTAGTGGTTAAGGCTGTTGTCATCCTAGTGGCAATGGATCTCCATGGCCTAGTGGTTAGGACTGTTGTGATCCTAGTGGCAATGGACCTTCATGGCCTAGTGGTTAGGATTATTGACATCCTAGCAGTTACCAAAGCTGTTTAATGTTTGTATTTGTAAAAGCTACAATTGTAATCTCCAGCTTTCAGTAGGTCACCTAGAGTCTTCCTTTTGGTATTACCTGGAAGTCATCATTAGATCTTTATAATAAGTAGATATTTATAATAAGTTGTTAAATAAATAAAAAAAGATATGTTAGTGTTAGGTTAATGTCATTTGTTTCAAAATTGGGAATCATAAGATTTATAATTTGTTACATTACAACAAGGCATGTTTGTTTAATTTATTTTGTTTTGATTTTGTTCTATAAACATGGTATTGAACTGACATCTTAGATTTTCAAGGTCAGAACATTTGCTCACTCCATTTTTCCAGAATAATTATTTAAATTGTGAAAAACGACCCAAAATTGAAAAGCGTTGCAAAGCTTTTCATTTAAATCAGTTTCTTTAAAAGTCAGTTTGATGTAGAATGATTGTATCTGACTTATAAGCAGTTCTTTATTTTACAAACTACTACAACAACAGCCAAAATGTGCTTATACTGTATATATATTTATTTATTATATTAAAAGATGAGAAAAAATAAAAATATAAAAACGAAAAAAAGTTATTGGTGTTATTTCAAAGATAAATTGGCAACTTTACATCTGTGTAAAGCTGTTTTAAACCCTGTGGGAAACTTTGTCATGAAGATAAATTAGACCAGTAGTACACCAGCTGTTGTAATGGTCATGTATTGTACATGTTTCAGGCAAGGGTGCTGTTGCTCTTTATGATGACCATATCAAAACATCCGTATATAACGGCAGTCTTTGTTAGCAACAGAGAAACTCATCTTGCCAAAATAACAAGCAAACAATGTACATGTTTTGCTAAGGTAATAATCTCCACATGAAAATAATCTTTGATTCAGAAAGTGCATGCACACTGTATATCTTGTAATTGTCCTTTTGTGTCCCCCACCTAAAAAGTTGCCAGATGATAACTTGTTGATTTCGAATTAGTGTGACCTTGACCTAATGACCTTAAGCTCAATAGGGATCATCTACATGTACTTGTTATAGGCAGTTTAACTGCCATGGACTTGTTCCTTATCAGAAAAGGGTTTTACAATGTCAGTTTGACCTTGAGTCCTTTGACATAGTGTACATGAGCAATCATCACATCTTTTTATCAACACAGTTTTCACATATGAGCCGCGTCATGACAAAACCAACATAGTGCGTTTGCGACCAGCATGAATCCAGACCAGCCTGTGCATCCGCGCAGTCTGATCAGGATCCATGCTATTCGCTATCAGTTTCTCTACTTGTTATAGTGTTGGTAAGCGAACAGCACGGATCCTGATCAGACTGCGCAGATGGGCAGGCTGGTCTGGATGGACCTTTCCGGTTTTTCGTAACGGAACATTTAGCCACACCTTTTCCATTCATGCTAGGTCAACTGCTCACAAACAGTATCACAAACATAACCATGTGTTCTTTTGTGCAATCCAGGTCAACCAGTGACTATGTATTATCTCAGTGTAGCAATTGGATAACAAGTTAGCCAATTTACATAAAACTGTAAACACTGGAAAGGTCCATTCATGCTGGTCGCAAACGCACTATGTTGGTTTTGTCGTGACGCGGCTCATAAGTGCACAAAGAAAATCTTGTCTTCCTAGATCATTAACCCTTAATTAACCTGAATTTGTGTAATGGATTAGTCCTTCATTGAATTTGGAACAGTCCATTAGGAGTTAAAGTTCCTATAACTCAATTTCTTTTATGGTTTTATATGATAAATATGATGCTCAAATGAAGATTTATCAATATTGTAAGTTCCAAAAAGCATCATTTGTAAAGATATTCCCGATTTTATATTTCATGTAAATAAAGGGAGGTAATTAGAAATGTCTGTAGATGAGAATAAATGCATATATTTTAAATATTACTTATAATGCGTATAAACATTTGCAGTACATATTTAACATATTCTTGAACGTTTGGCAATTGTTTAAGAAGAAGAATTATAGAATCTATACATATATAAAATTCCACTTAAGTGTTGTTACATCCTTAATTACAACATACAGGATCTTTAAAGTGATTTCAATAACAACAAAACATCAGCTACTAATAGTATAGAGCCGTGTCAAGAATACAGGGATGTTCAAGCTAGCATGGCACACATGTGGGCAAATGCTTATTACTCTCATTTCAAGCATGTGAAAGGTTAAACGGGAATCCATTGAGTTTGTTTTTTTTTTGACATAACGGGACTGGAAATAATGTTTTGAGATTATTGATCTATCAGATGTCGGTCTAAACCATGTGGTGTTTCAAATCACTCATTTACTCTGTTTTTTCTAGAATTTAATTGTACTCGTGAAACAATGACCTAAAACTGAAAAGCGTTAAAAATCGAACGGAGAAAAACACAAAAATACGATTTTCAATTTATTTCTGAGTATATGTCATAATTAACTTTTGTATATCTTTCGTTTTTAAGTGCCCCGGGTGATTATGTAAGAAATTCAAAATTTTATGTTTTTAGGCTGTCGTGTTCCTTTAAAATTATGAACAGAACAGAACATCTAGAACAGAACATCTGTTCTGTTCTGTTTAAAATTAAGGAGTAGTTATGCTAGCACGAAAATGCTTAAAAAAGTCATAAAATGTAGGATGAGATAAAAGCTGAAATAGAGATTGTTCAACATTATATTTGTTTGATCTTAATTATGTCAATATTGATATTGAATAAATCACAAACGTGTTCTGAATAAAATCTATAAATCTCTCGCTATTGTCATTGTTTAATGTTTATGTTAACTGTATAAGCCTGACTGAAAATGCTTTACAGTCTCGCAATAGTACTTGTGTTTTTAATAGATTAAATGTTAATGTAAAAAATGGAATTTGATCAAAATGGCGTGCATTTCCAGACTTGATAGTTATTTTTTTACACGACGATTTGAAACTGTTAATAGTAATGAAATGAAATGAAATAAAAAAAATATTATTAAAACATTGATTACGTCGGATATATATACATGGATATACAAGGTATTTAATAGTCTAGGTATTTAATATATTAACATGTTTAACCTGTGGTGAGTACGGGAAAGTTCGCAGTTATGATTGCTCAGTTCTTGGTATAACTATATTGGAATTTCTTAAATTCCAACTAATTGTTCTACATGGAAAAGGGACCATTATGTTAACAAGTTAACTATGAATTCTTTATCTTGAATGCTTATACATTTGTACATCTGACCAATCTCTATACTGTTGGCAAATCCAATTTTGTATTTTGAAAAAAAAAATCTTTATATTTAATGGAATTGTTCTCATTAATATGTGGTATACATTCAACAGGTCATACTTTAAGGAATTTTATTTTGGTATTTGATGAGATCTGAAATCACAACTCGTACTATGTCAATGTCGTACAAGCTCTTTCCCGGTTTACATGCCCCTGAAGACATTCCAGTTGCTCATTCTGTAGATACGCTGAAGTTCAATTAAAGATGAAATAATCTTTGTTTCGAGCAGGTTCGAAATACAAAATAAGGAAGATTATAAAAGGCCTTTTTCGTGTCCTCTTATAGTTCACTGGCCAATCACCTGAATCATATTTTACGTCTGTTGCTTTCTGGCAATAAGTTCAGTCATAGTGATATATTATTTTGTATGGAAGTCAAAATAGTATTATGCGCTAATTTATGGTTCTACTGAAGGTGGATTGAATTTCAACACAATGTTCCGTTTTATCATTTATTGTTTCTTTTTCAGTGGAATACCACAAATTTTAATAATATATAAAATATACACAGGTTATCCTGACGTTAACAAATACAAGGTAGATATTAAAAAGCAATAACAAATATTTCTAGTGGAGAGCCACAACGTTATTAATTGGAAATCCAAAATCTAACTGTTCGATTTCTCTATCTTTACAATATTTCTAAAAATGGTTTCGCTTTAAACTGACCAATAAAATTTTAACATTTTTGTGTCTTAAATAACAAAATGACCAATCAGGTTTCAATACAAAATAAGGTAACATAGCAACATAGAATTTATAACAACAATCATCACCTGGACATTTTATCAGTCATAAGGTTTAAAAACTTATTAAGTACAGACAGCTTAATTGACTTTATCACCTTTATATAATAAAACTTTTAGCACAGTTGATTGGACAAAGAGGAAAAGCCATATTTAATCTTCCGGTTACATAATTATTAATTTGACTTCTGTTATTAAAACATATAATATTTGCAACTTAACATATTCGAAATTTCACACATTGTTCTGAAAATTTGACCTTTTAGAA